AAGGCAAATAACCCGGGATAAACTAATGAACGCGCTTGGGGTAAGTGAGAAATGTCGAAACATTACTCGTATGGACCAGAAGCTTTTCAAAATTTCTGTGAGATGCTTACAAGAGATGGTGGTCTTCAACCCACAAAACGTGTAAGTGTTGAAGAGTAAGTTACCAAATTTCTTCACATTATATCACACAATGTGAGGAATCGGACAATGTCATTTTTCTTTTGTCGCTCTAGTGAAACCATAAGCCATCATTTTCATAGTGTGTTAAAAGCAATAATCTCATTGGAAGGATAGTTCTTAAGCAATATAGTGGATTGGACGTCCCCCCAAAAATACTCAATAACGATAGGTTTCATCCATATTTCAAGATAAACGTGATTATTACTTAACTCAATACTTCAAATTTTTTTTTTTTTCATAAACTATTACATAAAAAAAATTTATATACTAATTTTATCTTAGAATTGCATTGGGGCAATTAATGGAACACACATTCGTGTGAAAGTATCTAACGAAGATGTACCCAGATATCGTGGTAGGGAGAATTATCCAACAATAAATGTGTTAGCAGCTTGTTCATTTGACATGAAATTTACCTATGTTTTACCTAAATGGAAGGGTACCGCTTCAGACTCAAGAGTTATGACTAGTGCACTAAAAAGACGAGGAGATAAATTAATACTTCCTGAAGGTAATTTTTGTTAACATTAACTTAAATATTTAAGATTTTTTATTTATATGAATCCAATATTAATTACTATTATTCTTAATAGGAAAATTTTATCTTTTTGATGCCGGGTACCCATTAAAGGCTGGACTTATCACGTCTTATAGAGGTGTGCGCTACCATTTAAAAGAATATGCCTCACGCCGACCAGAGAATCCAAGAGAGTTATTCAACCTTCGACATGCATCACTGCGTAATGTTATTGAGAGAATTTTTGGTATGTTGAAGAAACGATTTCCTATCATAGGAAGCAATACTGAACCAACGTATGATGTTAAAACTCAAGTTGATATCATTTTAGCTTGTTGCATCATACACAACTATTTAATGGGCATAGATCCGGATGAAAGCCTTATTAATGAAGTAGACCAAGAGTTCTTAAATGAAACTCGAAATGAAGAGTGTGGTCCAATGGAGAGAAGTGAAGATCTTAGTTTGGGGGAATACTTGAGAGATTTGATAGCTTCCCATATGTGGCATGACTATGTAGCTAATCATGTGTGATACTTGAAATGTTTATTTGGTTGAAATAACTTAAAACTTATTTGCTTTTGTTTAATTTTTCTTTAACTTCTTTTATGTTAAAGTGCTTTATTTGGAGACGTAGAATGCTAATTATAGCTTGTTATAAACTCCTACCTTACATACAATTTTTGTTTACCTTTAATTGAATGATTTATCTTTTTGTTCAATTCTTTGTATTGTACTTGTTGTTATGTAGATATAAGAATGAGTAATCAAACAAACATAAGTGGTAGGTCAAAGAGAGATAGATGTGTTTGGACTGCACAAATGGATGATATATTTGTAGATGCATTACATAATCAATTTGTCAAGGAGAATATGATTGATGGCACATTCACAACAAAAGTTTATCGTGAGATTGTTGACGAATTAAAAGAAAGACTAGGTATCAATATCAACAAAGATAAAGTGAAGAATCGATTGAAAGCAATCAAGAAAATATTTAACTAGTGTTTTGACTTATTCAAAACTGGTTTGAGTGAAGCACCAAAAATGTGGAATGTTGAACCTGAAGTTTGAGCTTCTTTAATTGAGGTTGGTTTTTTAATTGAGAATATTTATTTATTTTTACTTTTAAGAGATACATTCTTTATGCTTTTGTTTCAGCTTGAAATAATGATAATATATATTTTTTTATGTTTCGGCAACAGTCAAATCCAACAGCTAAGAAATTGAAGGCTACTCCAATTTCCAACTATGATAAGTTGCTAGATTTATTTGCCAAGGATAGGGCAACTGGGTCTAATGCAGCAATTGCTAAGGAGATGATTATTGATTGGGCAACAAAAAGAAAAGAGAAGAGTAATGAATGGAAGTCAAGTCCTAATGATGATCCGATGGAGACCATTAATGGTATTAATCATATGGTGTCATCGAATGAAGCAAATTTGGATAATATGGGTTTTATGGATCATGAGTTTGAAAATATGAATATGATGTCTCCTGAAACACTTTCAAGTGCAACTTCCCATTCCACTTTTTCAAAAGGAAAAAGAAAAAGGAATTATTTGACTATTGATGGAGACAATGAAATAATTGAAATAGTGAAAGGTGTGCCTGTAGCTCTTAAAGAGGGAAATGATCTTTATAAAACATTCAATAATCTTTATTAGAAGTGGAACCAAAAGGGAAAATATGAAGAAGAAATCTTTAAGAAGTTGGCAGAAATTGGACTAGAAGGGCATGCAATTGTTAAAGCTTTCATTTTTCTGACTAAGCACGACCATTTTGATAGAATGACACAATTTCTTGGTTGTCCATCTGTGCTTTGCAAGACACTCATGGAGGAACTGATGTCCAATGATTCTTGATGTTGATAATGGTTTCGGTTATACTGACTTTTGACAATGTCTTTTAAGTTGGTAATATTTTGGGACAATTAGTGGAACTTCCTATTATGTCTAAGTTTAGTTATGTATTTATTTATTTATTTTTGTTATGGAGCTTTTGGTATGTAAACTTTATGGTACTACATCTCTCAATTATCTACCAGTCTGAACTTAAGCTTCCTTGTTTTTCTTTTGCTTTCAATGACATGGAGCTTACTATGTTTTGTTTGTAATGAGATGGGATGATATTCATTGATTACTTTTAAATGACATAGAGCTCAGCTTTGGTTTGTCCGCTCTGCTTTAGAGTTTCCACTTTCTGAAGCCCAGATTATGCTTTTTGTAAACCTGATGTTGCTCAATTTGTTTGGTGGGAAGTTTTAAATTTAATCAATGGTTTGTTGTAGGGTGTTGGTTGTTGCTAGCTTGAATGTCTCTTTTCAAGGCTATGCCCTTGATGTGATTCATGTATATTATTGTTAATATTTATAAATAAAAAAAAAATTACACTTATCGAGGAAAAACACTCAGGCACGTGAAAAGTTTTTTGTTGAAACATGTTGTGAACAAGGACTTCGAGGTTAGGTGACTTTGGCACCGTGACAAAGAAAATATAGTCCTTAAATTTTCCTCTCCAAGCATGGTATTTTCAGATAGGTTATAAATGCATAACCTACACCATTAGAGATTTTAATGTCTTTTTTCTTACTGTTTGGTGATCTTCCTTTTTCAATATTTCCGTAAGCCCAGATTTTGCTTTCTGATAACTGTATCATTCCTATATTCTAATTGGCCATGCTAAAGACATGAATATCTTATTGTATTAGGTGCATTTGCTTAAAGTAAAGAAACAACATTGCCTTATGCTCCAAATTTGATAATCACCATGAATATGATTTTCACACACACACACACACACACACACACACATATAGTCTAACACTGCCTTATGCTCCAAATTTGATCATCACCATGAATATGATCATCACACACACACACATACACACACACATATATCTTAAAAAGGTAGACTTTGAAAACAAGCTATTTTATTTAGATTAGATACAAAAAGGTAATATAGTAATTTGATTATTATCCCTTCCTTTCTTTTCTCTCGTATGTTTTATCCAAATAAGAATATTATCCATTCATGTTTTTTTCTCTCCTATCTATTCAAATATGAATATAAATTATAATTATCATTTCATTTATTTTCTCTCATAACTAATGTTATTATTTCCTTTCTTTTCTCTCCAGTGTATCCAAATGAAGCGAATGATTGAAGTTGGAATTGATGGCAAAAACGACCGTGTATTTGAGGAGGTGGAAGGCGAGATGACTAGGCCACTAGTTAATTCGTGATTGTGTCTGTGTGAAATTTTTTATTTTTAAATTTACTCATTTCAATTTTAGATGTAATAAAGTGTTCAAAATTTGTTTAGATATAATAGATTTAGCACACAATTGGGACAGAAGAAGAAGAACAGTGTATATAGTAAGAGTGAGAATTTAATTAGTAGTTCTTTCGATTTTCTTTCCTTGCACGGATTACTCAACAACTTATATCGCTTATTTGCTAGTTCAAACTTGTTAACAATTTTTTATTTTTGTATTTTGAAATTATATGTTTTTTATAATATAGATTTTTTTTTTTTTTTTTTTTTTTTTTTTTTTTTTTTTTTTTTTTTTTGGAATAAGAGTTTGGAGGGTAATTTGGACCTTTACAAAAATTCTTGATGCATTTGTAATTATTTTTCTAAATTCAATCAAATTAAAAATAAACATTTAAAATAGACCATTTTATTATTTAGGATTCCTAACTTTACTTATGCCTAGTTTCCTAAAAAAAAAAAAAATTGAAAAGGGTGGAATTTTATGCAATTTGTGCTATATTAATTTATAGGGTTAAATCACAAAAACCCTTGTATACTTTCACTTTTTGACACTTTGCCTCTTGTGTAGCCCCCTTTTTGTTAATTTGTAGTTAAAATTAACGGTAAATTTTTGTAATGACTTTAATACTCTAAAGTAACCTTTGCTACCAAAAACAACTGAAATACCCTTTTTAACACCACTGATAAAATGGTTGAATTTATAGTAATTATATAAGAAATACATTTACGATAAATGATTTTTTTATAAAATACTGGAATATACCTATATAAAACACATAATTTGATATTTGAGATTTTAATTAAATTATGTGTTTTATATAGGTAAAATAGCCAATAGTAACAAAATAGATATACTATATATAATACATACTACAAACAAAAGTTATACTCTTTCATATTAGCATATACATTTATTGTATAGACTAGTAATACATCATGTGTCGCGCCCGGATTATGTGTACAGGAGTTTTGAATTTGACCTAATTTATATAATATATATATATATATATATATATATATATATATATATATATATTTTCCTAAACAAATTTACTAATACCATAGAACTATAGATATACAAACACAGCTTGGAATTCCTCAGCAGCTACAAACACAGCTTGGAATTCCTCAGCAGCTTCGGTGCCAAAACATTTAGGGCTCAGAAGTTCTTTTTCCACGGTAAGACCCTTGCAATTCTCTCTCATCTTTCTCTCTCTACATGTTTGTATTCATTTATACATGTATTTTCGTATGCATATATATTCAAAAAATTTAGATGTCAGTTTGTTGAACTGGGCTCTCAAGAATGTTCAATTTAGCTTAAATAATATTATTATTTCAAATTATAGAAGAAGAAAAATAGAATTATTATTCTAAAGTGATCGTGGGTTGTCCTGTAATAATTTTCAGTATTGCTATTTTTTGCTTTTAATTTGAAATATATATTGTGACAAATGTGAGTAGAGAATGGACTATTATTAACTGTTAAATTAGTAATTTTGTTGATAGAAAATATGGTCTAGCATTGGAACGATGCATTAATTTAGGATATCCGGATTAGAAATTAAAAAGTAGAATTGATCGACCAAAGTGGTTGACTTATGATTGTGTATTCTTGAACTTAAAATTTCTCTTCATTTTGAAGTTTGTTTATGCGCAATCCGTTGTTGCAACCTGGTTTGAACATTTCAGAATCAAACACACTGGAATTCGAATAGATAATTGGACCAAAGTTGTGTTAGTGTATCATTCCTTTTGATGGACAAGAGAAGTTGCATGGTTGTAGAAAATATAAAACTTCGAGAGAAGGTATTGATGAATTAGGAGAAGAGGATAATGGTTACTTTGAAACTTGGTGAGTAACTTTTCATAACCTTTGAATCACCTCTTAATATAGGTTTGTATATGTATAGAGACCTTTGTTACATGGACTCTCCTATTTCCTTTCACGAAGTCATGTTGACATGGGACAACAGGGGTATGGATATGGCATATGTGTCTGGCACAGGAACCTAAATCGAGCCTTCACATGACATGATTGAAGAAGAAGAAACGAGTTTTCTATAACAGGTGTATTCATAGCAGAGATGAGTTTTCTATTTATGAGATGGATGAGAACCCTCTTTTTTAAATCTCATTTATTTAACATAATAATTGGCATATTCCTAAATAACAACAACTTCAGTCTTTACTCCATGATATAACATATAATGTATTTAAATGCATTGTCGTGTCGTTGTACCTGTATCTAACCTCGGATCTTAAAATCTGGCATTTTTGGAGGTTCGGCACTTAGAGACACAACCTGTACCTGATACACTTACATAAGTTAACACAGATAGAGACAATCCTAGAGAAAGTGTTGCCAGAAATACAAGGTAATGCATTGCTTAAATAAAAGCCATCACCCATTGCTGGCCATCCATATGGCACCATTGATTGATGGGATTGGTTCAAACCAAGTTCATTCCCAGTTGGATAATGCATAGGAGTGTCGTTACCAGCACAACTACAGTTTTGAGCAGTACCTTACTGATAAGAATAGATCAGTTTAAATGAAAAGCTCTTGCAATAAAATATCAAAACATTGTCGTCTCACTTCTGTTGCTGCTTTTCTTGGTTCCTTTTGTCATAAGTTATACTGCTACATCAATAATACATTTCAATTTTTGGCTGCCCAAATTAACGCACATTTGAATATTAGTATAATGACCTGATGGTCTATATGGAAGCAAATAATCTTTTTGGGTGTGGAAATTTATTTTTGTTGAAGAGTTTTTTGTTCCTTTTTTGGTTTGGATAAATTTTGTATATTATTTTTTGTCTATTTTAGTCAAGATGTTCGTAATTAAGTTAATTTCATCATTATTGATTAGAATACACCACTTGAGTCGTCGGAGAAACAAATGATGACGCTGTTCGACATAAATATAAAAAAAAGAATAAATCTTGAGTAAATAAACAAATAAATCAAAATCATTACTTTTTTTTCAGGATTTCAGATATGGTAGGAGGTAAAGAGAATAGTGGCTATCACTATAATTCATTAAGGCAGTGAAGTTTTGTGAATCTCTTTGTATGCATTGTTATGTTTATTCCTGGTAATGAATACATGGATGACTGATGATGAGATCTATTTTTACTGTAGAATCAAGCTCTGTTGGTAAGTAGCCTGCGAATGTACATGGTAGATTGACCACTGTTTAGTTTGATTAACATTCATTTACTAGTTTAGGAGTAGCATTATAAGTTAATTTTTCTCAAATGGCACCTAGGAAGCATAGATACTCTTCCAGGGTCGCCGTGGCTGTATCGCATACGTATTTGACATGAGTATACCCGAATACTTGTCTGATACGGTATCCAGATACTGTTTTCAGATTGGATACAGCAGGATACTTCTAGGATATGATAGGATACTCTGGAATACAACTGGACGAATTTGTAAATAATTTCATAAAAAACGGAGTCTGAGTATAATAATTTCATAAAAGTTCATTGTTTAAACTAAATTAAATAAAAGGACTTAAAAGCCCAATGTCTATTAAGGGATGGATTAAGTTGGGTCATTCAATCTCTAGGGCTAGTGTTTTTCATTCTCTATCTTCGTGTTTTATCTAATGGCCTCTTTAGGTATGCACATATTGGTGATTACGTTTACATTCATAATGTTATGTAAAACTAACAAAAAATTAATTTTCTTATATATACAAATATAATATATTATTATTTCTTGCCGTATTTGCATCCTTTTTTTTGAAGATTTGATCTATCGTTGTACCCATGTCGTATCCAAATCCTGATTCTATATCTGTGCTTCATAGCATGGCACATAGTTGTTAAAGGCTCAAGGCGCACTAAGGCGCCAAAGGCCTTCTAGAGCCTAAGACAAGGCGAAGTATAAGGCGTGAGCCTGATCGAAGGAAGGCGTGTGTGTTATAATATTGCATAGTTAAACATATATTATTATATAAATTTATGAATTTTGTCAAATATTTCATAATGTTAAACAATACAATATATGATATAGAACCTTTTAATTTAGTAGTCATTAAAAAAAAAAATGTAATATGAATAAATGACTAAAAAATACAAGGTGCACCTTTTTTGAGCCTGAAGCCTACTAAAAAGCGTGAGCTTGAGCTTTATGTGAGTCTGATTGAAGAGGCCTGGACTGTAGTAGGTTGAGGCGCTCTAGCTGAGCCTCGATGAGCCTAGGCCTTTTTTTGGATCCTAGGTGCGCCTTTAACAACTATGGCATGGCATTACCTAACTGTGGACCACAAAAATAATTTTATTTTGTTATATATGGGAAGTTGACTAATTAAATTATCAAACTTTTGGCCGATGCGAAAGTGATAGCCAACTCATGAAAGTTTTTTGCTCTTTTTTGTAGTCAATAATGAAGGAAAAGTCAGGATTTTCCATAATCTATTTTCATTTATTATTTCCATTTGTCTTTTTTGGGTTAGTAAGGCTTAGATGGGCTCAAGAATGATAAGCTTTAACAAATGTCAAATGTCAATCGGCTCAAATTTTGAGTAGTCAAAGGAGGAGAGTTTATACTTTGACCTTGTGAATGGTAAAAGCTCCCATTTTGACACACCTCAAGCGTACATAGGCTCGATCCTGCCCGATCACTGCTCTAATTTAAAAATAATTTTGGTGTAATCTGGCTATCTCAGTATAGTTGTCCAAATTTATTAAGGTGTTCCTTTTTTCCCTTCTTGACCAAATTTATTAAGGGGTGCCTTTATTCCCTTCTTTTCCAAATTTATTAAGGGGTACTTTTTTCCCTTCCTGAAACTTTAAAGTCAAACGGAAACCATGAGCCTTATAAGACCTTATTCCTGACTCTGAGTCCTCTACAGTCATCTCCTTTATTTCTCTTAGTCTGAGCTGCGCATCACTTCTCTTCCCTCATGGATGACTTACGAGACGAGGTTCCACCGCAATGCATTGGAGAATGGTTTGAAGGGGTCCTTCCATCTGGAAGAGAATTTGAGCTTCCAAATATCTCCGATCCAGTGAGCTCACCATTGATTGAAAATGCATGCAACTTGTTTTCTTCACAGCACCAAGAAGTTGATACTCCTGCACCAGATAGTGCTTTTGTATCAGGTATGAGTGATCCATCTGGTGCTGGAAATAAGCTGGTTTCTTCTCCTACCATGGAAACTGTACTTTGTATTGCATCTGCTCTTTTGGCAGTTGATCAGCAAGAACATAATTTTAGTTTGACCAGTAATTCTCCTTTTCAGCCAAATTCATCTCTCCCTGCAGGTAATCATCATACCTGTATTCCTTTTTCTTCTGGTTTACCTGGTTTTGAATTTAATGGCACTTTTTCTGTTGGAAACCAATCAGCATGTACTCCTAGCTCTGCTAGCTTATCACAGAATGGTTTGAATGTTAATCTGTCGCTGACAAACCCAAGATATGTTAGTTCTACGACCTCACCTTGCTTCAGTTCAGATGGTTCCATGGGAAGTTTTGCACCCTCTGTTCCTAGCCTTTTAAATACATTTAGGTTTGGCTCAGACATCATTTCTTCAAGAAACAAATCAATCTTTATTCCTACTCCACCACACACATTTTTGTCTGATTCTAATGTAGGCATCAGGAGCAACCAAGCCCACATTTCTAACAATTGGGGAACATCCCTGTTTGGGCCAAATGCCTCCCTTTCTAAGAGAAACCATCAATCTGAATTACCTCGCTTGGATCACTCACCATTCTTTGTCTCAAATGGCATTCTTACTATGAGGAATCAACCAGATCCTCTTCCTGCTATAGACAATAACCTGTGGCATGGTGAAATTCCTTGCGGTGCTGGCATCTTGAGCAACCAAGCCCTCATTCCAACCTCAGACTTTACTTTGTTCGAGTCGAATGGCTCCTTTTCTGCAGGAAACCATCAAATTACAAATCCTAGTTTAGGTAACTTTCCATTCCTCGTCTCAAATAGAGATCACACATTGAGGAGTTCATTGACCAAAGAGGTACAGTATATTGCTGGCCTTAGTAACCACGCTGACATTCCTTGTTCTGGGTATATGCCTTTGTTTGGGTCTAGTTGTGCCCTTTCTATGAGAAACCAGCAACCGTCATATCCTAGCTCAGGTAACTTCCCATTGTCCAGTTTAGATGGTGCTCTGCTTACAAGGAATCGACCAGCCTGTATTCATGCCGTGAGTAATACCCCTGGTTATAGTGTTAATGGATCATGCCTGCAAAATTCTTTAAATCTTCTTCAAAACACCAGCCAAGTAACAAGCATTGTATCAAATGTCTCCCTTCCAATGAGAAATGAAGTAAGAAAATCTAGCTGTATGCCTCAGTCTAACCTCAGTGGTTCGTGGGGCCAACAACATTGTGTTCCAAGCTCATTACATGTTGGTCATGTTTCATCTCACACTTCTAAGATCAACTATAACAAAAATGATAATTGTGTGGAGTGTGGTGCAATGCTCTACAAGCTTCAGGACTTAGGGGGGCATTGGGGTTCCCATAACCAGGTTAGGATTAAGGAGGAGAGAATCACCAACCAACAAAGTGCTTTGCATGTTGACGCAGCCACGGTCCAATCCAACTTTGTGGATAACTCTTGTTCTGCACCAAATGTTTTTACTGGAACGAGTCGTGTTTTGGAAGTCAAAAAAAGGAAGATTGAAGAAAGTTGCTCTTCTGATGAGGCCTCATCATGCCCTTTGGAAAAAAAGGTTATGAAGAAGGAATTTTTTTGAGAGATGATATTCTGTAGAAAAGAACTTCTGTGAGCAGGTTTATGAGAATGGGCGGATTTTCTTAACTATGTGGGTTAGAGAAGAATCCAAGGTTCAGGTGTCAGCAATAATCATTCCGAATGAATATTTTCCGTGGCTTTTATCAATTCAAATGTTTTGTGGCTTTCTTGAAGTTGACAGAGTTGGAATACCTGCCCCATGACACATGCTGTCAAACAATATTGTTTATTGGGAATTTACTTGGTGTTGGATGAAAGGATGCAGCTTCCTACCCTGAAAAAAGTAAGAAAAGAAAAAGAAAAAACAAAAAGGAAAGGAGGGAGGATGCAGCTAATGTTATGACTTGGTTGTCAACTGAAGATTCAATGGAGAGAGAGAGCAAAAGACAATTCTGCTGAATATGCTTTAGTTTCCGTTTTTGTCTTTCTGATTAGGTGTTTTAGTTTCTGTTTTGTCATACCCATAGTGAACTTGCATGTTTGTCTTCTGTCCTATCCGTCCTTCGACCTTGTCAATGTAAGTGCATCTTTTGTTATGAAATAGAAAATTAAGTGAAATGCTCCTGATAAATCTTGATATATATTTTTACATTAGCGTGTAGTATATAGAAGGATATGATGTAAACTTTATTAGCTAAGTTGTTGACATCTTGGTTGAAAGCTGAACTTCCAAAATGAAATTTGCATTTAAAGCATCATAAACTTTGCAGAAGTTCTTACTTACATGACTTTTATGAGAATTACTGGTGTCCCTATGTGGCTAGCCCCCCTGTTATGTATTGAAAAATGTTGCAACAGTTTTGGAGCAACGTGTAACCCTTATGGCGATCGCTTTATAAAAAAAATTTAAACAGTCATTCTCTCTCTTTCTCTCTCTAAATATGTCTATATATATGCACTTTCATTTTTTATTTAAAATAGGCTGATAATTTTTTAATACAACTATAATAGTTGGTTGCGAGCCAATATTCGCATTCCCCTTTTAACCAAATGTGGTTGGGAGTTTTCTGTTAACCATATTCTTTAAAACCATAAGCATTTTATATTTGTTAGTTCAATTTTTGAGATTTAAAATAAAAATAAAAAGATATAGGATTAAAAATGTTTAGATTATGGATTCAATATTATATAAAAATATAATTTATCATTTTAATCTATAAATCCTTTAATGCTTGTGGAATGTGGATTGAACCACTTATAAATTATAAATTTCTTATGTTATGCTTGGCAGATGAGAATATGAAACAATTGAACATTTTGAGTTTATATATATATATCTTTTGAATTAAATTAAATAATATCATATAAAACATAAAAATATCTACAGAAAGTGTACTTACATTTAATACAAGTACACATATAGATTATATAACAAATAAAAAATCTATTCTCATTCATATGGTATCTGCATATATATATATACAAACATATATAGTATATTTATCTATATATACATAAATAGTATTGAATATTGATAGATAGATACATTAATTTATATAATAGAATAGAACTATTGATATGCACAAACTCTTTTGTAGCAGTGTATTTGACGCTTTGGAATTACTCAGCAGCTTCGGTGCCAGATAAAAAGATAGAGTTATTTTGTGGAGAAGACATTTAGGATTCAGTAGTTCTTTTTCCACGGTAAGACTTTTGCAATCCTCTTTCATTTTTCTCTCTATATGTTTCTATTCATCTATGTACATGTAGTTTCTTATGTTTATATTCTAAAACTTAAAGCGTTAGTTTGTTGAACTAGGCTCTCAAGAATGTTCGATTAAGCTTCTTTGTTTGTATTTTCTCTTCCCTTTAGCTTAAAAACTATATTGCGTTACATTCTAGAATGGAATTGACATGATTATTTCAAATTAAAGAAGAAGAAAAATAGAATTACTAATCTAAAGTGATTGTGGGTTGTCCTAGAAGAATGTTCTGTATTGCGATTTTTTGGTTGCATGATCTTTCTTTTAATTTGAAAAATATATTGTGACAAATGCGAGTAGAGAATGGACTATTAACTATTAACTGTTAATTATCATTAGTTCCTTACTTTATTAGTAATATTTTTGATAGAAATATATGGTATAGCATTGAAATGACGCATTAATTTATCATATACGGATTAGAAACAAAAAAATAGAATTGGTAGTCCAAAGTGATTGACGTATGATTAGGGAGTCCATCAACCAAAGAGTTACACTATATTGCTGGCATTAGGAACCAAGCTGACATTCCTTGCTCTGGGTATATGCCTTTGGGTCTTGTTGCGCCCTTTCTATGAGAAACCAGCAACCCTCATTTCCTAGCACAGGTAACTTCCCATTGTCCATTTTAGATGGTGCTCTGCTTACAAGGAATCGACCATCCTGTATTCATGCCGTGAGTAATACCCCTGGTTATGGTGTTGATGGATCATGCCTGCAAAATTCTTTAAACCTTCTTCAAAACACCAGCCAAGTAACAAGCATTGTATCAAACATCTCCCTTCCAATGAGAAATGAAGTAAGAAAATCTAGCTGTATGCCTCAGTCTAAACTCAGTGGTTCGTGGGGCCAACAACATTTTATTCCAAGCTCATGACCTGTTGGTCTTGTTTCATCTCACACTTCTAAGATCAACTATGACAAAAATGAAAATTGTGTGGAGTGTGGTGCAACGCTCCACAACCTTCAGGACTTGGGAGGGCATTGGGGTTCCCATAACCAGGTTAGGATTAAGGAGGAAAGAATAACCAAACAACCAAGTGCTTTGCATGTAGATGCAGCCACGGTCCTATCCAAGTTTGTGGATAACTCTTGTTCTGCTCCAAATGTTTTTACTGGAACAAGTCATGTTTCAGAAGTCAAAAAAGAGAAGATCGAAGAAAATTGCTTTTCTGATGAGGCCTCATCATTCCCTTTGGAAAAAAAGGTTATAAAGAAGGATTTTTTTCCATTTTTTTGAGAATCTGAAAAACGAGTCCTCTCAACTAAAGAAAAATTACTAGATGATATTTTGTAGAAAAGAACTTCTGTGAGCGGGATTTTGAGAACGAATGGATTTTCTTCACCAAGTGAGTTAGAGAAGAATCCAAGGCTCAGGTCCCAGCAATAATCATTCTGAATGAATGTTGTCCGTGACTTTTATCAATTCAAATATTTTGTGTCTTCTTGAAGTAGACAGAGTTGGAATTCCTGCCCCAGGAGACACAATATTGTTTATTGGAAGTTTACTTGGTGTCGGATGAAAGGATGCAGCTTCCTACCCTGAAAAAAAAAAAAAAAAAAAAAAGAAAGGAGGGAGGATGCATCTAATGTTGTGAATTGGTTGTCAACTGAAGATTCAATGAAGAGAGAGACCACAAGACAATTGTGCTGAATATGCTTTAGTTTCTGTTTTTAACTTTCTGATTAGGTGTTTTAGTTTCTGTTGTGTCATCCCCATAGTGAACTTGCATGTTTGTCTTCTGCCCTGTCTGTCCTTTTCCCTTGTCAATGATAAGTGCATCTTTTTTTGTGAAACAGAAAATTAAGTGACATTGTCCTGATAAATCTTGATATCTTTTTTGACATTAAATGAATATTTTTGTGTAAATCTTCTCTTTGTTTCACTCCAAAGTTTAATTATATTAGATGATTAGAGTGTAGTATATAGAAGGATATGATATCAAATTTATTAGCTAAGTTGTTAACATCCAAGTTGAAGGATGAACTTCCAAAATGAAGTTTGCATTTAAAGCATCATAAACTTTGCACAAGTTTTACTTACATGACTTTTATGAGAATTACTGGTGTCTCTATAGTGGCTAGCCCCCCCTTTTATGTATTGAAAAATATTGCCACAGTTTAGGAGCAATGTGAAACCCTTATGGAGATCCCTTCTATAAAAAAGTTAAATAGTCATTATCTCTCTTTCTAAATATGTCTATATAAATGCACTTTCATTCTTTACATATATATTAATTTTTTGAAATAGGCTAATAATTTTTTTAATGCAACTATAATAGTTGGTTGTGAGCCGATATGCGCACTCCCCTTTTAACCAAATGTGGTTGGGAGTTTTCTGTTAACCATATTCTTTAAAACCATAAGCATTTTATATTTTTCAGTACAAAATTTTAGATTCTAAAAAAAGAAAAAGATACAGGATTAAAAAAATTTAGATTATGGATTCAATTTTTTATAAATAAAAAACTCTATAATTTATCATTTTAATATATAAATCCTTTAATGCTTGTGGAATTTCGATTGAACCAGTTATAAATTATATTTTTTATGTTATGTTTGTTTGATGAGAAAATATAAAACTATTGACCATTTTGAGTTGATATATATATATATATATATATATCTTTTGAATTAAATTAAATAATATCATGTAAGACATAAAAATATCTATAGAAACTCTACTTACATTTAGTACAAGTATACATATAGATTAGGTAACAAATAAAAAATCTATTCACATTCATATAGTATCTGCACATATATATATACACACACACACACACATATATAGTATAGAATATTGATAGATAGATATAATAGTATAGAACTATAGATATGCACAAACTCTTGTGTAGCAGTGTATTTGACGCTTTGGAATTACTAAGCAGCTTTGGTGCCAGAAAAAAAGATGAGTTATTTTGTGGAGAAGACATTTAGGGTTCAATAGTTCTTTTTCCACGGTAAGACTTCTGCAATCCTCTCTCATTTTTCTCTCTATTTGTTTGTATTCATCTATGTACATGTAGTTTTGCATGTTTATATTCAAAAACTTCAAGTGTTAGTTTGTTGAACTAGGCTCTCAAGATTGTTCGATCAGGGTTCTTTGGTTGTAATATCTCTTCCTTTTAGCTTAAAAACTGTATTGTGTTACATTCTAATATGGAATAAGGGATTAAAATGATTCTTTCAACTGAAGAAGATGAAAAATAGAAGTATTAATCTAAAGTGATTGTGGGTTGTCCTATAAGGATGTTCTGTATTGCGAATTTTTGGTTGCATGATCTTGCTTTTAATTTGAAAAATATATTGTGACAAATGCGAGTAGAGAATAGACTATTAACTGTTAATTATCAATTAGTTCCTTTACTTTATTAGTAATTTTGTTGATAGAAATATATGTATAGCATTCAAATGATGCATTAATTTATCATCTACGGATTAGAAACAAAGAAATAGAATTGATAGTCCAAAGTGGTTGACGTATGATTGTGTATCTAAAACTCAATACTGATTTATCTTCAATTTGAAGTTTGTTTATGTGCAATCCTTTGTCGCATCCTGGTTTGAACATTTAAGAGACAAACACATTGCATAGATTATGGGACCAAAGTTGTGTTAGTGTTTCATTCCTTTTAATGTACAACAGAAGTTGTATAATTGTAGAAAATAGAAAAGTTTGAGGGAAGTATTGATGAATTAGGAGAAGAGGATATTGGTTACTCCCTCCGTCCCATATTAGATGTCCATGGATAGAAATTAGAGTTGTTAAGGGTACATGCAATTAATGCATTGTCTCCTTTTAAAATTATCCACTTGTCTTTTTTAGTTTAGATATGTATAGTTACCAAGTTTGAAATTCTTTGAAAATATAAAGGACAATGATGGAATGATAAGGCTTATTTGTTTTGACTTTTTAAAGTGGACAACTAATTTGGGATGTCTAAAAAGGAGATAGTGGACTACTAATATGGGACAGAGGTAGTACTTTGAAACTTGGTGAGTGATGTTTTTTTATAACCATCAAATCACCTCTCTATATAGGTTTCTTTATGCATAGAGATCTGTGTAATTACATGGACATTCCTAATTTCCTTCACGAACCCATGTCGACAAGCAATTACAGGGGTATGGATGACATATACCACCACCCAAATCGGACACCTTGATCCTTCACATAACATGACTGAAGAATAAGAAAAAGGAACTCAATTCTCATAGCAGAGATGAGTATTCTATTTATGAGATGGATGGGAAGCCGCTTTTTTACATCTCATTTAATTTAATAATTATTGGTATATTCCTAAATAACAACATCAGACTTTACTCCATGATATAACATATTATGTATTTAAATGCATAGGCATGTCGTTGTACCCATATCTAACCCTGTATCTTAAAATCTGGCATTTATGGAGGTTCGGCACTTAGACACAACCTGTACCTGATACACTTACTTGAGTTCATGGGAAAAAAATGCATTGCTTAAATAAAAGCCATCACCCAGTGCTGGCCATGCATATGGCATTGTTAACAACCATCTACTCCAAAAGCTTAAGCTATTAGAGAGGGTGTAACTTTAATATTTATATCCTTCAACACGCCCCCTCACGTGTAACCTTCGTTTGGTCCAACACATGTTTTTCAATTTTTTTAATTAGGGTGACGGTGAGGTTTGAACTTGAGACCTTTGGCTCTGATACCATATTAACAACCATCTACTCCAAAAGCTTAAGCTATTAGAGAGGGTGTAACTTTAATATTTGTATCCTTCAACAGGCACCATTGATTGATGGGATTGGTTCAAATCAAATTAATTCCCAGTTGGATAATTCATAGGCGTGTCATTACCACTAGAACTACAGTTTATGGACAGTGCCTTAGTGATAAGAATAGATTGGTTTAAATGAAAAGCTCTTGCAATAAAATTTCAAAACTTGGTCTTCTCACTTCTGTTGCTTCTTCTCTTGGTTATATTTGTCATAAGTTAAAGTGCTACATCACTAATACATTTCAATTTTGGCTGCCCAAGTTAACTCACATTTGAATATTAGTGTGACTACTTGATGGTCTATATGGGAGCATATAATCTTTTTGGGTATTTATTCTTGTTGAAGATTTTTTTGTTCCTCTTTTGGTTTGGTTAAATTTTGTATATTATTTTTTGTCCATTTCAGTCAAGATGTTCTTAATTAAGTTAATTTCATCATTATTGATTAGAATACACCACTTCAGTTGTTGGAGAAACAAATGAATACACTGTTCAACATAAAATATAAAAAAAGAAAATTAATCTTGAGTAAATAAACAAATAAATCAAAATAGTTCTCTCTCTTTCTCCTCTTCTTCTCAAATATGGTAAGGGGTAAATAGAATAGTGCTATCACTATAATTCATTAAGGCAGTGAGGTTTTGTGAATATCTTTGGACGAGTGTATGCATTGTTGCGTTTATTCCTGGCAATGAACTACATGGATGACTGATGATGGCATCTATTTTTTCTGTAGAATCAAGGTCTGTTGGTAAGTAGCCTAATCATGTACATGGTAGAATGTAGATTGACCATTGTTTAGTTTGATTAACATTCATTTACTTGTTCAGGAGCAGCATTATAAATTAATTTTCTCACATGCAGGGGTGGACCACAGAGACATTAATTTGGGGCCCGATTTAGTAATGTGAAAATAAAAATCGAAGTTTTATAATGAAAAATAAATATAAAAAATATTATATAAATTATGAAAAAATTAAACGCATTTCATAATTTCTTAGAAAAATATGAATACTAATTACTATCTTTGTCTCATTTGAAAAGTCCATTTCGGAAACTGTGACTCATTGTGAGTCACGGTTCCCGAAATGAACTTTTAAAATGGGACAGAGGTAGTAATGTGAGTCACAGTTCCCGAAATGGACTTTTAAAATGGGACGAAGGGAGTATATAATTGACTTTTTTCTCAAATGGCAGCTTCCAAAAATAAGGTAAAAGAATCTAAATTGAGATTTCTTTATACTTTGGAGGGGCCAAAATTAATTCTTCGTACTTTGGAACTTACCATTCATAATGTGGGAGTTGTTTGTAAAATTTCTAATTATTTAAATTTATGGTAGAACCTAAAATGAAAGTATCATTTAGCAAAATGATTTGGAATTCATAGTAAATAGTATGTTGGCTTAAACTTGAGTGGCTTAATGACCATGCCATCTTAAAAGAAATGGTAAGGTTTTAAAGCAAGTGTTCAGAAATTAGAGTTATGTAGCTCCTCTTCTACTTGTTTCTATAGTCTTTGTTAATGGACTGTATTGAGGGATTTGAGCACAACTACTTCCAGGGGAAAAGGTGATTGTAACTAGCTGAATTTAAATTGATCAAACTTTAGTTCTTCTTGCCTAATTAAAATAGGGTATAATTTAAGTGGGTAGGAGGGACACAAGAGTCAAGTAAGAGTCAACTACCACAGTAGGCGAACATGGACGATGTCATGAAAGGACCTTGGATGGATTGCATACAATCAGGTTACAGTGTTCAAGAGGTACGCAACTCGGCTTCCAAAGTTTGAGAGCTATAGTATCATGGAGATACCTTCGTAATTACTAGTATGATAATGCAATTATATTGTATAATATTAATATCAATCAAGCAACATATTATATATATATAGACACCATAGTTATGATGATATCTATGATGATCCAGCAATAAGCCTGTTTGACTTTTGATTCTTTCGAGGCTTCAGTTTCAGGCCTTAGGAATATTAGAGTTCCTCAAGCTTTCACAAAAGAAACATTTTTGTTCATTTTTGTCTAGCTTTTGTTGCTTGATGATATCTATGATGATCCAGCAATAAGCCTGTTTGACTTTTGATTCTTTTGAGGCTTTAGTTTCAGGCCTTAGGAATATTAGAGTTCCTCAAGCTTCCACAAAAGAAACATTTTTATCCAGCTTTTGTTGCTTTGGTTTTCTCTGAATCCCATTGCTGGTAGGTTTTTATAGGAGGAAAGGATGGTTGTCGGGGAGATCTTTCTCACAGCGTTCCTTGAGTCACTGTTTGAGAAGTTGGGCTCTGGTGTATTGGAGAAGTTCGCACGTCAAGAGGGAATTGATATTCAGTTGAATAAGTTGAGAAAGATTCTGCTGATAATTCAAGCCGTGATCGGTGGTGCAGAGGAGAAGCAAATAACAGACAGAGCTGTGAAAGATGAGGCTGGAGGATCTCAATGACCTGGTTTACGATTTGGATGATTTGCTAGACAAGTTTGCCACAGAAGCTTTGCGACAAAAGCTGATGGATAAGGAACCTCACGCTAGCACCGGCAAGGTATGGAAACTCATCCCTACTTGTTGTACTAACTTCACACCTAGTGCTTTTATGCTTGATCGCCATATGAGGTACAAGATAGAGGACATCACTTCCAGGTTACAAGAGATTGCAATACAAAAGAATAATATGGGTTTGAAAGAAGTTGCTGGAGGGATCAGGTTCGACGAAGTAAGAGAAAGATTGCCCACCACTTCTTGGTTGACAAATCTCATGTTTATGGGTGAAAGTAGTGATGAGACCGTCTCTCTCATTCCCATTATGGGTATGGGAGGTGTTGGTAAAACCACTCTCGCTCAACTGGTCTACAATGTTGATAATACGAAGGATTTTTTTGATATGAAGGCATGGGTTGCGTTTCTGATGATTTTGATGTTGTTGGGGTGACCAAGACAATTCTTGAAAAGCTCACCTCCCAAATCTATGACTTCAAGGATTTAGATACGCTTCAAGTAAAACTAAAGGAAATCCTGTCAGGGAAAAAGTTCCTTTTTGTTTTGGATGATATTTGGAATGAGAATCCTGAATAGTGGGACCTGTTACGCCGGCCTTTTCTGGTTGGGGCAACCGGAAGCAAACTTTTTTTTCCTACTCGCAATGTAAGTGTAGCATCAATGACGAGTTCTGTTCCAGCTATTCCAACTTTCCGTCTAAAGAAGTTGTCAGATGTTGATTGTCTATCTTTATTTGCTCAATATGCACTTGGAAGAACAAATTTGAAAAAATTTGAAGGCTTGCCTTTGGCGGTAAAGACGCTTGGAGGTCTCTTGCGCACTGAATTGGACGAGAAAAGGTGGGAGGATATATTGCATAGCGAGATATGGGAGCTACCACAAGAAAAAGTAATATTCTTCCAGCTCTTAGACTGAGCTACTTTCATCTTCCTGCCCATTTGAAGCTGTGTTTTGCATACCGCTCAATATTTCCGAAAGACAATGAATTTGACTAAGACAAGCTGATTTTGTTATGGATGGCAGAAGGACTTTTGCAGCTAAAAAAGGAAAAAAAGCATATGGAAGATTTTGGCGAAGAATGTTTTGATGATCTATTATCAAGGTCATTTTTTGAGCAATCAAGTGGTAATAACACGGGACTTGTAATGTATGACCTCGTGAATGATTTGGCTCGATTTGTGGCTGGAGAAATATGTTTTAGGGCAATGGATAATTTTGATGGTAATGAGCAATGTACAATTTCTAAACGGACTCACCACTTATCCTACACTCGTCAAAAGTATGAAGTCTTCCAAAAGTTCAAGACTCTTTATGAAGTTCAATGTTTGCGCACATTCTTACCATTACCAGTTTACAAATCGTCCAGGTGGCCAGAAAATTACTACTTAAGTAACAGGGTCTTGTTCGATTTATTGCCTAAATTACATGGCTTATGGGTATTGTCTTTGTCTGGTTATGGAATAAGCGAGCTACCAAATTCAATTGGCAACTTGAAGCATTTACGGTATCTCAATTTATCTCGTTCTACTTTGGGCAAAGAAGATACATTGACCTTACCCTTCTGTAAACTTGAATTTTGGAAATATGCGAGTGTGCCAATCTGAAGAAGCTACCAAATGGGTTGAAGATGTTAAGAAGTTTGCATGTCAGTGGGTGTCCAAAAGTTGTTTGCTTTCCAGAAGAAGGTGTCCCACCTCTGCTTAAAACGCTTCGGCTGTCAGATTGCGAGGGCTTGAAGTCTCTCCCCGATGGCATCTCTCATCTTGAAGATTTGGTTGTAAACAATTGTTCATCCCTGAGGTCATGGCCAACAGATATGTTTCCGGTGACACTCAAGTGGCTTGAAATTTTGCATTGCAGGCAATTGGAGTGGGTTTCAGAGACAATGGTGCATAGTAGTAGTATGTCATCATTTGAACATCTCTGGATCAATAATTGGCCATACATTGAAAGGTGGTTTGGATGCATGAACCATTTTGCATATCTCCATAGACTGGTAATACACAATTGCCATAGTTTAGAGTGCTTCCCAGAAAGAGGTTTATCCATTCCCAACCTCGGAAATCTTACCATCATGAATTGCGTGAATCTGAGGTCCTTGATGCCATTCGATCAGATTCAAAGCCTCACATTCCTCGACTTATCAGATTGTCCAAATCTTGAGTTATTTGCCAATGGGAATTTGCCTCCAAAACTTGTTTCAATATCACTTGATTCTGATAATGGGATGCCCCTGTCAGAGTGGGGCTTGCACAAACTCACCTCTCTTCGAGAATTCTTCATTTGTGGTGGCTTTTTGGAGATGTTCTGCTTTCCTGATGATGATGAAGTAAAAGAAGAAGAGTGGTGTGTGTTTCCTGCAAGTGTAACCTACTTAGAGATCTGGAATCTCCGGAATCTGGAATCCATATCATCCAAGGGGCTCCGGAACCTCACCTCTCTTCAACATCTATCCATCTGGGACTGTCCAAAGCTTCTGTCCTTGCCTAAGGAGGTTTTGCCTTCCACGCTTCAATAGCTGGAAATATGGATTGTCCAATTCTAAAACAAAGATGTATGAAGGACAAAGGAGATTATTGGCCCATCATTGCCGACATCCCCAACATCAAGATAGATCGCAATTAAATTTATGAAAAATTTTCCGAGTGATTCTTGTTCACTACAGTCATCATCAGAACTGAACTGAAGATGGTGGATCCTTGTTCAACATCCACATCAACAAACAAGAGCTCACCATTAACCATGGCCTTGACTCGGGGGTGGAGAAACATTTTTTGTGGATGGAGAAACATTTTCTTATATGTAAGTAATGTACTTTTTAGATTTCTTGTGCTTTTCGTGTCCAGATTTTTTGAGAACCAGGTTTTCTGGTTGAGAAGCTTGAAGCTTTGTACACGAAGGGTTGTGACACTAATTATCTGTTGTAGTTATTCATCAACATAGCTCCTTTGTGACAATAAGCTTGAGTGAAATGGAATTTGTGAGGCTTTCCGAATTATAACAAAATTGGTCTGTTTTAAGTTCTACGAGAATACAATAAGGTTGGTGGGTTTTAATGTGGACAAAAAAAATTAAATGCATTATAGTCAGTCTGCTTAACAAGAAAGTTAAGTGGATGGGTATCCGAATTGCTTGATTTGTAATTGTTTGGTCATGAGTTTTGTAAGTTGTGTGTGTGTGTGTGTGTGATTATTACGTATACATGGTGTTTTGGACTCTTATTTATCATTTTATGGAGTCAAAATTGTAATGTTTTGAAAAAATAAAGTTGACCAAAATACTAATATAGACATGGAAGAACATTGTTTTATTATTTTCAAGTATTACTTTTGTGCATATAAGTACTAACTTTTTGTGCACATGGATATCATTTTTATTTTTATTATTATTATTTTTTTGTGTAGATCATTTCTTCATGTGCCACTTTTTGTGCATGTGGACATAGTTTGTACAAAAAATAATACCTGTGTGCACCAAGAGTGATATTTTTTTGCATAAGAATGATACCTCTATGCACAAGAGTGAAACTTACATGGATAAAAGTGAAACCTGAAATAGTTTAGGCAATGAACAATATTTTTCTATGTCCCATCTGCATTGGTTAATTCCATTTATTCAAAACATCATTTCTTCGACTCCATGGAACAGTAAATAATGGTCCAAAAATTCATATATACGTAAAAATCCCTATATTATATTTACCATGACAACTAGCTGGAGGACTCAATTTTTGTTCCTGTCCAGACTTGAACAATTGACGTTTCACCTTAAAACTGGAGGAACCTTTTTTTTTAGAATAAACAAAGCCTATCAATGTAGAGCCTAGATCTTCTCATGTCATTACGTAATTTATGCAACAACACATAACTTATGTGTTACATGACTTATGTAATAATTTTTTTTCTTACTTAATATTCATACACACATATTTTTACTATGACTTATGTAACAAGTACGTTACATTACTTACGTAACTTATTTTCATCAATCTGTTGCACTAGGCAGTCGTCGTACACTAACAATATACTACCGACACAGCACCAAGGCACAGTGGAGGGGAAAGCTGAGGGTTTTGTTGTGTATAATACAAAATCATCCTCAAAGCTTGTACCCACAAGCAGGAGGATGTTCCACAGCCACCAGTTCCTAACAAGATAAAGTCACACACGTGGCAATCATCCATTTGCCATAACATGCTCTGGATAAGGAAGTGGATATGACATTTGTAGCAACCACTATAGTCTCTCGCACACACTTTTTAACTAAAAACTCATCTAATATATTGACAGATTAAGAAAGACTGAAACTCCCAGAAACAAAAAGACAGCAATCAGATAGCAAGCAATGGCTACCACAACAATGACAACCTCATTCCTAGGTGGCTCAGCCGTGGCCATCTTCAAACCAGCCCCGACGACTGCCGGCCGCCGAGGGGTTGTGATGGCCAAGGCCTCAAAGGTCACAGAAGTTGCCAACAGCAGCAAGGAAGAGGGCAACACATTGAGGAGGGATCTGGTGTTTGCTGCTGCAGCAGGAGCTGTGTGCTCCATTGCGAAAGTGGCCATGGCCGATGAGCCGAAGAACGGGACCCCGGAAGCCAAGAAGAAGTATGCCCCAATCTGCGTGACAATGCCGACCGCCCGAATCTGTCGCAAGTGAGGATTGTTGTGTTCATGATCAATGCTTAATTTGTTGTATTGTATGGTCTGAGAGTAGATGAATGTTGTACAATTTCCTACTAGACATTTATTTTATATAGAAAACCATGTTTGTTATGCCTACTGTTAATGTACTGCAATCTATGTTTAATAACTGAAGTGATCAATATCATTTTAGCAATAATCTTATGCACAGTAACATACATTTTTATGCCAAATCTAGCAATCCTTAGATATGAGCCTCTAAGGTTGTTGAGAGCCACGGACACAGGAGAATGACAGGGCATGACCTTTGTAACCTTCATAAAACACTGAATCGGGATACACAGATGTACCAGAGATTATCAGATGGTTTAGATTGAGAAAGTAGCTCCAGAAGAGTATATTAATATATTATAATGTGTCATTATTGTAATTCACCAAATATCAATTAGACCACAACCATTTAGTAATTTCTCATAAGTAACAACCATACTTGGGCACTTTACATGTATTGGAAAATGTGTGGGACATGTCAAATTCCAATTCATGAGACATAGATATGACTAAATATTTATTTTATTTATACAAAAAAATTATTTAATTTTAGGGTTAATTAATGTCTGTAGTATTTAGTATAGGCATTTGAAGTAATAATATAATAAAATTAAATTATTATATATATATATTTTTTAGATATATGTCCAATCAGAACCGTATATGTCAAGAATTGTAATTTATTGATTTGCCTCATCTTCTAACCTTGAAGGTTGAGAGTTCAAGTTTTCATAAAAACAAGGGCGTGAGAGTATGTATTCTTTGCCATGGTGAAAAAAAAAAAAAAAAAAAAAAAAAATACTTTTGGGAAAAGAAAGAACTAGTATAACTCATATTTACATGCAAATGCTTTGGTAGCTCAATAATTGAGTTGCTCCCTGTTGTCTTAGGAAGCCCTGCTTCGAAACTTCCCACCCTCTAACTTCTAATATTACATCTTTGACATGAAAAAAAAAAAAAAAAAAAACTCATATCTACACCCACATTTCACTACTTTTGAAGAGTGAATGTGAGAATTCTTTATCTTAATTCGGTGAAAAGCCAGCGTCCTCACTCTTTTATGAGCAATGCTATATCAGTCATTAGATCTTCGTTTTCATCGTTTGTTTTTCTCATTGGAAATTACAGAAGACGCATTCAAAATGGTGAAGGAAAATATTAAATTAACCAAATTAGTCTAATATAATATCAGATGACACAACATGATAAATATTCCATACAATCCAAAAACAAAAACAGCAACTGTGATTGCCAACAATATCAGCATCTCTTACCTCACTCCTTTTTATCTCCTCTATTGATTTTTTAATTGGAAGCTTATTTAAAAATAAAAGTTATCAAAATGCAATCTGAATGAAATTGATGGCATCATCTTTCAGTATATTTCACAAGTTTATTTAAACCATAATCAAATTGGTTTTATTAAGTTTGGTCACAATAATTGAATTGATGCTAGAAATTCAGATAAGATGTTATTGATGTAGGACAATTATATTAAATATTATTTTATATTTATTTTTATTTTTCTAATCTTTAGAAAGGGTTTAATTTTGAATAGTTTTTTTATATTTTTTGTTTCCTTAAGCAATTAATTTCTTTTTGCTATTAGTTTTCTTTATAGTTGTAATGTATTGGTCTTGCAAAAGGAATCATTCAATTTTATTAATAACATATCATAATTCTCCGTATATTTTCTTCAAGATAATTGTCTCATTCCTTGCGAATGTCTAATTCAATTTTATTAATAATATATCAGAATTCCCCGTATATTTTCTTCAAGATAACTCGTTCCTTGCTAATTGCTTCCATTCATATGATTTCTTCGAGATAATTCTTTCGTGCCTTGCGAACGTCTAATCACTTCCATTCATATGATCAAGTCAACAAACCAGCCTGTTCTTGAATTGGTGATTTAAGTTCTTAGAGCTCTTTCAATTCCAATTAAAGATACCTTTCTCTACAGCAATTTCTGCACCACTCATGTTGCTCAAAGCTGCATTGGCTTCTTAAGAACATACCCTGTTCTTAATCTGAACTGTGTTGTAAAAGCTAGGAATGTTTGAAGAATGCAGATCTCAGCTAAAGATTGTTCCCATGACACTTCAATTTAAAGCCTGAGTAGGTCAATTTCAACAAGCGTTTCAGCAGATATATGTTTGGTGTTGCTGGGATTTTTTGATTGGCAGGGTTGTGTCAACATTGGCATAAACAATATTCATGCACAATGAACAATGACCAAAGCACAACTACAAACCACAGGGCAAGATGCACACGAGAAATGGAAAAAAACACTTCTATAACAATTTGGGAAAATAGTATTACAAATTCCAGGTCTTGTAACAACTAAAACACTCGCCAAAAATAGATACAAGACCGAAATCCAATCTCCACTCATTACATCTGTTACCAAGTAATAACAGAGAGGAAGAGAGAGACACTTATTTCACCGTCACCAACTTGGATACGCACTTGCTCGCTCTCTTGTATCAAGCCGACGGCTTCACCAGACCTTCCCATTTATCAACCAACTCTTGGAGCTTCTCAAATCCCTGATAAGAACAATTAAAAGATGCAACAATCCTTAGCTACTGGCAGATGGACCAAAAGATTGGTAAGTTAATAACATTAATAGTTTTACTGCTTACCGTGCGTATCGTGAAGTCGCCGAATGATTCTTTAGATTGTCGCTCTTGTCCCCAATGATAAAACAAAGGTTCCAAAACTTTCTCCAGGTTCTGAATCTTAACCTTATTCATGAAGCTTTTAGCTAGTGTGGTCTGATTGGGTGTACCCCCAAGCCAAATCTGATTCAACAAAAATTAAATCAGTTTGTCCATATGATGAGGACAGGAAAACTTCTTATTAAACATACCATCTAAAAAGATGAGAATAGGAACTCTTGAAAATAATTTAATTTCAAGGACACTAGCGCTTTCATTACCTGATAGCTATTGGGGCCATCACCAACAAATCCAAGTTCAGCCATGTAGGGTCGAGCACAACCATTAGGGCAGCCAGTTACCCTTACTACTACAGACTCATCGGACGGGAGACCAACCTGAAATCATACAAGACCCTTGTCTGTTATAAGCATCACGATCCCAACCAATCTAAACACATATTATAATATTACCCCCACCACTTCCTTTTGGGGCTTTGCAGAATTTCTAGACACTGATATTCTTACTTCCTATTTTTTTCAGCAAGTACAAATTCATACAGTTCAATAACATACCTTCTCAAATATAGCTCGAACCCGCTTAAGCATGTCAGGTATTCCGCGCTCAGCTTCAGTTATTGCCAGAGGGCAAAGTGGAAAAGCAGGGCATGCCATTGCGGTTAGGTTGAGGGGATCTACATACTCAGGTTCCTGCCCACAGTAAGAACTGGTCAATATATGCTTAAATATGACTGTAATAGTTCATGACCGAAAGAGAAAATAAGAAAGGTAAGCATAATTAACAAGATATAAAGGTTTTCCTGGTGTTAGCTTTTGTTTGTTTTTGGCCTTGGGTGTTATTCTTTTGTATCAGTTGGCTGGCTTGTTTCTCTCTCTATGCCTCCCTTGTTTACTGGATATCCCATGCTTGTATATTATTCCAAACTTATACATCTTTTTTTCTTACCTATATATGTGTGTGTGTGTGTGTGTAAATGTTGCCATAATCATTTATATATACAACATTTCTTAGGATAGCTCCAAGCAGTAAAAAGATTACAATGTTGGCAAAAGTTAATATGCTTACAATGTTGTGTAAGGATATACCATAAAGATTCTTTAGTCATTTTCAGTTAAAAATTCTCACTACAACCAAAATCTACTTTTTCCGCTGAGAAAATTTTCATTCTAGCTTAAAGTAAACAGATTTTGGTATAAACTTAATCAGGGTAGATGGATAACTTAAAATTCACAATAATTATAGGTCTTCATGATACTCGAACCTCTACCAAGCCTTCTCAAAACCATACATGCCTTGTGTGAACTTGTGGGCTAATATAGCTTCAACTTATTCATGATTCAATTCTTTACTCGAACGTTGAACTACATAGTCATGTTAAAAGAATTTCTCAACACAAAATCTGAAACATATTAGTCTAGTTTGTTGAAAAAATTGACTCATGTCTTAATTTCATTTTGTTCATAATGATACATGATACAAACTTTAAAATGTCTTACCAGCAGACCGGCCTGCGCAAGAGCTGTGGTGATGGCAGGCTTCCAATCACTCTTAATACCACACAAGATCATATTTTGGTTTGGTGTGAGACGCACATCCAAATTATATTTCTCGATGATCTCCCTTAATGTCTTCTTCACAGTTCCCTTAACACGACCATTATCAACATGAAGCCCACAATATAAAGCACCATCACCCTGCCAAAAATGTTCAAACAAATCATAAATAGATAGAAAAGAGAAGACCAAAGCAGAAGACCTGTCCTACAAGAATTTTGGAGACTACGACCCGAGTAGGAAAGATAAAATTTATACTAACCAATACGTAATGACTCAAAATTTAAAACCTAAACGCAGGAAAAAATTCACAATACTAATTACATGCCTAGTCGAAAAACTAACCTGCTCATGCCATCCCAAATAACTTTTAAATTCCCACTCAGGTAACTCGCGGCAAGGCTCAATTTTCTTTCCATAATACTGTTCAACAACACTTCTAAACTTCTCAATCCCCCATGAGCTGATCAAGTATTTCATTCTACTATACTTACGGTCATCTCTTCTACCATTTTCTCTTTGTGTAACAACAATAGCTTTCACTACATATAGTATGTCTTCTTTTGGTACATAACCCAAAGGCTCTGACAAACGGGCAAAAGTGCTTTCCTGCCTATGTGTTCTTCCCATACCACCACCAACCTGCAACAGAAGTAACATGCAATTAAACTCTATCCATATGGAAAGAAGAAGAATAAGAAGTAAATAGCATGAATGAACATCTTACATAAACGTTGAAACCCTGAGGAATTCCATTATCATCAGAAACAACCACCACCCCAACATCATTTGTGAAGACGTCCACTGAGTTATCGGTTGGCACAGTAACAGCAACTTTGAATTTCCTTGGCAAAAACTGAGTTCCATAAATAGGCTCAGGTGAATCAGGGAAATTTGTTCCATGAGAATTATCATTGCGCGCCTTAACTACTTCAGGAGGTTCTGCTGACATAATTCTCTCTCCATCCACCCACATATCATAGTAAAAACCAGACTGAGGAGTTAGGAGTGTAGCAATGTTGTCTGCAGTTTCCTGTGCAAATAGGTAATCTTTTCTTACAAGTGGGGCTGCAGGAGCAAGAACATTTCTGTTGAGATCACCACACGCACCAAGAGTTGAACCCATGCTTTTAATAATTGTACTCATCACTGTCTTAAGGTTCGCCTTCGTGACGCCATGTAGCTGAAATGTTTGTCTGGTCGTCAAACGAAGTGTCCCAATTCCAAACTGATCAGCAAGATCATCCATTGCCAAGTAAAGTTTGTTGGGAACCTTTCCACAAGGATTCTTGGTACGAAGCATAAATGAGTAAGTCCTTTTGCCACGTTCATCTCTGTCATACTGTTGATAGCTTCCATGGAACTTGATCATTTGTGTGGCAGCCTCACTTAAATTTGGGGCATCTGTTAACAAGTCCTCATTGAGAGGGTATCTTATGAAATTACTCTGCTCTTTAAATATTTCAACCTTGCTACGCTTAGTCTCGGAAGGAGAATCTGGCTTCAATGGCTGCACAACAGAGCATACGCAAATTATTATATAAATAACCAACAAGATTATCAAATATAATTCATGTTTTCAATTCAGTATCACAAGATAGAAATCCTATCATTTTCCTACAATACAAGTAACAAAAATCCCTACCTCCAGATTTTTCAACAAGTGTAACATGAGAGTTGGTTTGATTGGTTGATTAATCAAGGAAAAGATATATTTAGAAAAGAAAATGGAGAGAAAAATAAAAGGAAAAGATTTATTAATTTTGTGACTAAAAAGGGCAAAACTGAAATTCACTGGTTAAACAAAACAGGCACTTTACTAACTCTCATATCTTTTCCCTCTGTTTTGTGAAGAACAAGAAAATCAATGTCCAAGGGATAGAAAGCCCCTCCTTCTCCCCTCCAAATCCTTCCATTTCTCTCCACTTTTTCAAAATTATTCCTTTTTTCCCTCTCATTTCCATCAAAACAAACAGCCCTAACTACCTTCTTCTGCTTTTGAGAGAAAACCAAAGCAATTCTTTTGCTCTTTAAAACAAAATAAGCACCACCGAAAATTACCGAGAAAATGTAAAATTTTCATTTTCTTTCCATATTTAACCTGATTTCTCAGAAAACAAACAGGGCAAAGCATGTAACAGAACTCAATAATATCAATTGTATCCATCATATACAGAATGAAACAATTCCCGGAAGGAAAAAAAAAAACCTTCAAATTCATTCAGAAATGAACTAAATGGAAATTCATCGATGGTGAAAAATTACCGTTGAAACAGCTCTGATGATTGAAGGATACGAAGATGAGACTGAGAACAACTGAATCCGGTTGTTCGATAGAATCGAATGAGAAGAAGATTTCAAGCCATGAAACCTCTGAATTTGAAACGCAGGGTCCCTTGTGATCGCGGTGCTGGCAGCTCCGAACGACGTCGTCATCGTGTGTAAATGCGTTGGAGTTTGAGATATGGAAACCCTAGGAGAAAATCTAGGGTTTTTATAGGAGAGCTGTGGAGTAGCACAGAGGAGAGAGAGAGAGAAGGCGACGAGTGGCTATGAGGCGATGAAGCAGCTTAAAACAGAGTGGGCTCTAGCTAACCTGAGCCGGCGTCACGTGCTTGCCACGGGCCTTCTTTGTTTCTTTTTCTATTTTATACAAACTCCCCAAACAATTGTTTCACGCGCTACATCTGACGCGCCCTTTCACGCTCTGTGGCTGACCCTGTGGTTTTCAGGTTTGGGAACAACATTTCTCCCTTTTGATAAGAGCTGGGAAGCACGGATTGTTTTTTTTTTTTTTTCTTCTTAAAGTGCTGTAGTAGTATCAAATATACAAACACTTTTTTGAATGCACGAAAAATATTATGAGTAGTGAATGTATTATTTTTGGGTTAGACACGACACAGATACATTTTATACACTTTCAAAGTTCGTAACTCTAAATTCTAATAAATTGGTGATTTATTTATAATTATTTGGATAAAGTGGCAAAAAAAATATATTATTTATATATATATATTATATATACTCTGACGTATTTATGTCGTACCTGTGTCTTATTTTTTTGAATTTGTCATATTGTCGTATCAGTATCGTATTGTATCTGTGCTTTCTAGGGGCTAATAAGCCATTTCTTTGAATAAATTAAATCTAAATATATAATCTAATATTCTTGAACAATTAAAAGTTGTCCAAAAAGGTATCATTGTTTTTATTTAATAATATGAAGTATATAATTAAAGATATAATATAATATAATTTCTATCAATATAAAGAGTGAAGATAACTTTATAATTTCTTTTCTCTCAAATTCCCAACAAAGAAGTGAAAATAACACATTTATTTGATTTGTCTTGTAAAGTTTGAACCATCAATATTACTTAGAAATTGAAGAGATACTGCTAAACTACAATATTTAGAGGTAAATTGGTAAGACACGTAAAAACTTCAATGTCGTGGTTAACATTACTATTTTCAATTTTTAAAATTTTTTTAACCTCATTTTCTAATTCTTCATCATCATTCTCCATACCGCAATCCCTATATGAATGGTGTTGGTCACATAAATTCTTGCTCAAATATTTTTTTATTACATGTGATTTCTTTGACTATGTTTGACTTTTTAAAATCCTTTTTAATAAACTTATTTTTAAATTAGACATCTCAAAATGAACTTTTTATATATTTTACATCATTAAATAAAATAAAAATTAGATGATGCGAGATTATGGTGCAATCAGAAACGTTGTCGTTTGTGGAGACTGGAAAACAGCACCGATATGATATTGACGAAGTACACTAATGATCAAGGTAGAATTATATAAAGAAAGAATTTTGTGAGTATATTTTTGTTGTGCCTCTTTGAATTAACGGACCCTACTCAGAGTCTTGGTAGTTGGTAGTACTGTACATGCGATTGCTTCCATTACCTTCTCCTCACAAACTACTTCCATGGACGGAGAAAGTGAAGGAAGCAATCACATGGTTAGACATTGTAAAACGAAGGGTTAGTCAATTTAAAAAGGTACGACAAAAAATTACTATCTAATACTAACTTGAGTGTGGGAGAATATATCGGACGGTAAATATGCTCTGCTAGATAGTTAATCGAGATATGAAATTCGTTTTTCAACTCCACCCTTAATTTTCTTCCACATTGGTTTCCAGTTACCAATTTTCTTCTTTTGTAGAAAACAACATCGTTTCTTCTGATCATGCCAGAACGTCACATTAACGTATACCATAAATTCTTGCAGAAGTATTTTATTGTTTCCAAACATCTTTTCTTTTGTATACTATTGTTCTTGAAAAAATTGACATTTTCACAAATTTATTTCATCAGTTTTTTAAGGCTAGATCACAAATTCTAACATGCTAATAGATGTTGGAAAAGTGACATATATTCCAAAATTATTTCAGAAATTTACATCTTTATCTTTACGAGAAACAATAAATAACTTTTCTCTTAATGTAAAATTCTAAAATATATCCGTTCATAAATTACAACGAATAACTTTTCTTTTAATGTAAAATTTTTATGATTATTTAAGTGACGTTGTCTGTTTTTTTATTAAAAAAAAAAACAAAATTCTTTTTATATATATATTATTATTAATTATTCATAATCATAGACGATAAATTCACAAAAAAATGTTGATCACCTGTCTTGCACGTGGATCTGAAAAAAAATGAAAGAGTGTGGGAGCGCGTGCATGAAGTGCGAAGATTAAATTACATGAAGCGAATGGTAGCGGGGCGCTGGTACATTGAACTTGGACAAAGACGTGCTTGACTTTGGGTCAATGAGGGCCGCCGTAAAATACTAGTAAAAAAAAAACGGAAGATGGAGGTGGTTTTATCGGATGTATCCACATCTATGGTAAGCCAAATCAGATCAAACACGTAGCTGTCCATTACCCACCCACATCATAGATTCTAAATCCAACCCAAATCTTCCGAACAACCCCACCTTATCCGAATTACTCCTGTATATTCTAAGTCATTAATTCCGGTACATTCTATAAGTCATTAATTTCTTTTTTTTCCTTTCGTCTTTTTTTCTTTTTTTATGTAATGAAATTTATTTAATAATGGTAAGAGCATGTTTGACATAGAGATTCCACCAATGAAGACATTCATACCAAACCCAACCAAATACTAATAATAATAATAATTCACTTATATGTATGTATATATATATATATATATATATGTGTGTACTTGAATCAAAATTATCCATTAGTGGACCAGTTAATATTTATTATTTTAATATCATTTAAACTCGTTTTACGTAAATTACCCAGTGACTTAATTGATAGAGCGTCTAACTTTTCGAATGAGTGTGCATGTGTTTAAGTCCCTCTTTCCCTAATTTATTAAGACACAATAAAAAGTAATAAAAATAATAACTCGTAAAACGTGAATTATTACTCGAGTTTCTAAAAATCAATAAGAGCGAGTGTAACCGTATTCAAGTTCTCCCTCCCTCTAATTTGTCAGGCACCAAATATCGAGGGAGCTCAATATAGACATTTCTATATTATCTAATGACCTCATTGATAGAGTGTCCAACTCTCTGAGTAGGTATACCCGTGTGGCCTAATTTGTCAGTTACCAAATCTCAAAAAAATACTGTCTCCGTCCCAATTCAAGTGTTTGGTGAATAGTAATTTTTAAGAAAACATGTGGAATATACATTGTCTGCATAGAAAATTACTAACAGGCAAGAGACAATCTGGCGAACTGAAATCTTAGTAGCAAGAGGAAAAGAAAGCAAAAGCGATTCCCGCAGTAGCGGTGAGCTAAATGGGAACAGCCGAACTACCTCAATAAGTTTGCGCATATATGAAAATATATGAAATATATTATTTGAAAAAGGAAAGTGAACTATTATTTTAGAACAGACAAAAAATATGTACATATGAAACTTATTTTGGGATAGAAAAACTATTAAACAGTCTATTTATATGTAATAAAACTCTAATTATTTAATATAGAACATGCTCACGTGACAATCAATAAGATTATCTAAGTTAATATTTGGATTTGAAAACGCTTTTTATTTTTATTTTTTATTTTTTATTTTGTAGCTTGTTACTATTTTGCACGCTCGGAAAGTCGCACACCATTTTATATGGGCAGACTTTTTATACGAAGTCAAGATTCAAATTTGACGATTGGCACACTATGGTTGATATTCTGTTCATAGTCTTCAAAAGTCTGACGTACAATACAATAAAAAAATTGATAAGAGAGACTTCTAAGAAAAGAGGGTGATTTAAGATGCGTGAATCTAAAAGCCGCCGTCAAGCCCTCGTGAAATGACTTCTCCAAAAGTTTTTGTAATATCACCTCACTTTCTTTTTCAATTTTTTTAATAATATTTTATTTATTTATTTTTTGGTACACTATTTTCGGCGTTGTTGTAATTAATAAGCATTTTTTTTGGATCCAAAAATTTAGGCGAGGGGGCAATAGTAGGATATTTTTGTACTTTCGGGGCAATATGAAAATTTAATACGCATGCAATAAAAAAGGGAAAATTACTACTTTTATTTACTCTGAATATACTTTAGGCTTGATTTTGCGAGATAGCAACGTTCTAAAAATATAAAAACTAGTTGAGGACAATTTTAAATGTATTAAATAAAAATATTATCAATTTATAATTAAGTTAAATAATATATTAGTTGAAAATTTTTTATATTATTATTGTTCAAAGTCGCCCTCCACTAACCAATTTTGGCTCGTCACTAGGTATTTGTAAAGGTATTTCTGTGTGAGTATCTAACAAAAAATAATAATAATAATAAATAAATAAAACACAAAAAACCCTTCTGTCAAATTTTACTTTTACTTACCAACACTATTAAAAAAAAAAAAACAAAAAGGAAGCTAAATTTAAGCTTTGGCTAAAAATTTATACTACTAACAAAATTAAAAGTAAATTTAACTTAAAACACTTTTGAAACTTCAACCAACCAAATAATATAAAATTTAATACAACTTAACATGCATCCAATCACCCATTCAACAAACGAACATGGAAGGGTTACTATTAGACCTGTCAATGGATGGAATTCTTATTCAAATTCGATCTAAATCTTATCTGATTCGTTGGACATGGATAAAAAAAAAAAAAAAAAATTCGATAATCCGATAATGATCCGAATTTGACAATCTATTACCTTAACAAATCGGATATGAATTTTAGGTAATTCGATCCGATTCGATTAAAATTATATATATATATATATATATATATATATATATATATATATTGTATAAATGTTATATATATATTAGTTAGAGGTGGCAAATTATGACACGACTATACAACACGAATACGACACGAGTTAAAAGAAGTTGAGTTTGGCATAAACGGGTTTGGGTCATAAAAAGGTTGACACTACTAACCCGTTTACTTAACCGTGTCAGATTAAGGTTGAAGGGTTCAACCCGTATAACCCGTTTATGACCCATTTAACTCACCATATTTTAATCGTGAATATGACTTATATAATATGTTACCTATTTAAACCCAATTATTATAGATAGTTAAGTCATTTCAACATAAATCTTGTCTATATCTGATGATTTTTTTTTTTTTTTTTTGAATATTTGGGTTAATTATGACAAATTTTTTCTATTATTTAGTATTTGATTATTAAATGTCTTATTTTGAAACGATTATTAAATGAGTTGGGTTTGAATTTACCTATTTAGTATAATACCCTTACATCGATACCACACGAACACGAATTGCCATCCCTAATATTAGTTATCTATTTGTATGAAATTTATATATATTAATTATTTACCAATATATTCATTTGGTTGCATATTTATATTATTCACGATTCTACTAGTATATATATTAATAATTCTTCACTCCATCTAACTTTATAGCTATATATGTCATTTTAAATAAATAAAATAATAAACAATCCGAATCCGAGTCCGATTTAATTTAAATCTGAGTTAAATAAGATATGAATTACAACATTGAATCCGATAACCCCTATCCGAATCTGATAAGTCATTAAATTAACAAAACAAATATGAATTTGATTGATCGTATCCGGAAGCCTACATAATTGCCGAAGTAAAAGAAGGCTTCAAGGTGGGAATAAAAGCAATTAATCAGTAAGGGCTCGCTTGAATTTTTGTTGTGTTTTTTTTTTTTCTTTCATATTAATAGAGATAGTATTTTTGTTATATTGCGATTTCGCTGTAAAAAGAGAACATGCTTGGTAGAACTAATTTGTTACATAAAATGTATAAAAAAAAATTCAAAAAAGTGTAAACGTATATTGTATTTACATTATATCTTACTCTTTATATATATATATATATATATATATATGTCTACCAACACTTATTCAACTACAATAACAAAAAATGGAGAAACCAACCCCCTTTTTTTTTTTTCAACAATAAAAAAAACTAGAGAAACCAACTTTTTTTTTTCCTTACAAAATTGGGTCTCTTTTCTAAAGCACGTGCCTACCAAAACGTAACACTCACTGCTATGCCACAATTCAAAGTCTCGTTAACCATAAAAAGTGAATGTGCCAGCCAAAAAAATAATTATAAGAAAATAAATTTAAAATAAACTAATTATTTCTTAAAAAAAAAAAAAAAAAAAAAAAAAAAAAAAAAAAAAAAAAATCACTTGTTTACCCATTCAAGAGAATTTTTTTTTTCTTTATAATTCATGTTTACCCTTCCAAAATATATATATATATTTATCCATAAAAAGTTTACAAAATTAAATTACACAATGCTCTTCCCTTTCCTCATTTCCTTGCTAAATCAAACATGAGAAAAACACATCTTCCCTTTCTCAAGGTATCTCTTCCATCCCCTCCAAGTCCCACCTACCCCTCCAATTTTTCATCCTTCGAACAGAGAGGAACAGAAAATAGGTGCCAAACAAAGAAAAGATGCCACTGCTAAATATAGAAGAATTGTTCAAGGCCCTAAAAGAGTAATTTAGCACTAAATGGAACAAGTTAACAACTTTCTGAAAACAAATGCAAAATCATCCAAAGAGATTGAGTTGTGTTACCATACCAACATGGCTAAATAGAGATAAGGGACTGCAAGGGTCAGTTTCTGTCAACAACACCACATAGAAACAACTTGGCAGCAGCTAGACTATGATGAGCCTAAATTTCACATATTCACAACACAATAACCACCTCACCAACTTTCTCTGTGGAACAAATTTTTTTTTTTCCCCCTTCTATAACTACATCAAAACAAACAAAATCTAAGCACAGCTACTTGAAAGATATTGACAGCCTCGCCCCGATCCTACTAATCCCCAAGTTCTCATTAAAAGGGGAGGAAAAAAAATTAATAATTTTGTGAATGAAAAAAAAAAAAAAAAAAAAGGAAAATTATGTAAAAGGAATATCCTTTCTGATTTTTCTCTCCCTCCATCACATTGGTTTTCTTAAAATTTTCCTTGTTCATCTACCTTAATTAGTTTCTAGCGAACCATCCTTCATCAACTTCAAACTGAGACTGTTGAACCGTTCTCGCGAATATTGCCTGGATGCTTTCCTCCAATCTGTACCAGCTTTCATCATTGCAGCGAATTCCTCATAACTTATACGCCCATCCTGTGTGTCCCAAAAAAAAAATCAAATTGAGGTCAAACTCCCTTATATCAAATGCATAACATGCATGTGATGCATAGAAGCCTAGAACCAGAAGTTTCAAGACATGTCGGACTAAATGGAAGTGTAGAGAAAACCTGATGTTTAAGGATGAAAAAGAAAGGCATGAGAGGAATTTAATTGTTCTGATTCAATAATAAAGGACATAAAAGTTAAAGATGATGGAGAAGACAATCCAAAAGGAGCAGATGAAGAGGAACAACAGAATGATATTATGGTGTTTAGCAAATAATGTGATCCCAAGTTAGAAAGGAAAAACTATATAAAAGCTAGAATACAAGTTAGTAGTCGTATTCATGGCATAAAATGAAAAGAAGCCAAGAAGCAAGTGTTTGTCCCAAAGAGTTGTGTCCCCCGGGATAAAAGAGTTGTCAAGGGTAAGGAACTTGTAGAGGTAAAAAACCAGAGCTAAGAACTAAGATGATCTAGTCATGTTAAACAAAAGCAAAACCAGTACCTATAAAGGGTGACAAGTTGCAAGTTGAATACTCCATATTGATAATTGAAACCAGAAAGAAATTAAAGATTGAATGAGCATTTATGGTTGGCCATAAGATATAGTCCTCATAAAGAGGTAAATAGAATAAAATTGTTCACAGTGAAAAATTAAATGTTAATTACATCAACATAGGCATTGCAACACTCACCTTATCGGTGTCAACATCATGCATGATGGCGCTGATAACTTCCTCACTGTTGGTGTCATCTTCATCACTCAAGGCATCTCGCAGCTCTTCAATCTCTATATAACCACTTTGATTCCGATCAAAGAATGCAAAAGCTTTACGTAGGTGCTCATCATTGGCCATCTTTCTGAGATGAACCGAAACAGCTACAAACTCTCCACAATTCAGAGTTCCATCACCATCAACATCGGCCTGTAGAAACCAGGTCTCAATTTATTGATGAATAGAAACAACAAAGCATCATACCCAGAGATTAATACTTCCAATAACTTGACCTGATTAAGTGCTAAGGAAAGCTAAAAGAAGAAGAGATAAAAGAGTAGGGGTGGAAGCGAAAGTAGAGGTCTTTGGTTTTGTAAGAAAAACATGCCAAACTTATTAGGATTCTTTATCTGGTATACAAAACTTTGTACGTTCATCCACAATTAGTAACATAATGAATGCGTCTTTAATTTAATGCTTTGTTCGGTAGGAAGGTGTTAAGAGTGTTTCTCAATTTCATCATAGTGCTTTATTTGAGGTGGAGAAATCTTTAATTAAGGTAGAGCTATGAAAAGATCCTTGTTCGAGATGGAGCACGTGCGTGAAGACATATTTTGATCACATGTTGATTATGTGAAGAATTGGGGGGTTCAAAGTTGCCGATTTTGGCTTATCTTTGGCTACTGCCAAAGTAGAACCGGCTCAACATGCGCGTATAGTTTTTTGGCTTTGGTTACTGCCAAAGTTGAACCGGTTCAAATGGGGCTAACCAGTTCAACTTGGACAGTGAGTTATTGGAAGTTACGAGAAATAGTTTCCTAATTGGTTTTGGAAGCTAGAATACTTGGGGAAAAAGCTGTAGATTTGGGGTAGAAGTTGTATCTCTATTTTAGAGTTAAAGACTAATATGCTAATGCCTTGTAGGCAAGTTGATCCTTGTCCAACAAGGAATTGGGTTTGAAGACTAAAAATAGAGATGGGTATGAGAGAGAGAAGATTGGAGAGAGAGAGAGAAGATTGGAGAGAGAGAGTTGAGATTGTGAGAGAGAAAAGAGTATGTAATCAAGTTTTTGTAGTAAATTAATCGTTCTTCGCCCGTGAACTAGGCAATTTGCCAAACCATGTAAATCTCATTTCTTGCTTGCGTGCGTTTTTTTTTTTTTTTTGCCAATTGTGTGTGAAACCCTGACAATTGGTATCAGAACCATGGCAACTATTACAGATGGAAAGTACGTGGTCGAGAAGTTTGATGGAAGAAGGAACTCCAGTCTTTGGCAAGTTCGGATGCGGGATTTACTGATTCAGCGTGGTCTAGGAGATGCTTTACATAAGTAACCAGAAAAGATGGAAGATGTAGATTGGACGAAGATCAACTTGAAGGCAATGAGTGCAATTCGATTAACATTGGCAAATGATATTGTGTATGATGTGCTAAAAGAAGATTTAGCAGCGGACATGTCGAAGAAGTTGGAGATTTTGTATATGGAAAAGAATCTCACCAACCGGTTAGTTTTAAAGCAAGAGTGCAATTCGAAAAGATGAAAGATGCAAATTGGGCGAAGATCAACTTGAAGGCAATGAGTGTAATTCGATTAACATTGACAAATGATATTGTGTATGATGTGCTAAAAGAAGATTCAGCAGCGGACATGTGGAAGAAGTTGGAGAATCTGTATATGGGAAAGAATCTCACCAACCGGTTAGTTTTAAAGCAAGAGTTGTATTCCTTCAAGAGAAAAGAAGGGGTAAACCTACAAGAACATCTGGGTGAGTTCAACAAAATTATTTGTGATTTGTCTAACATTGATGTCAAGTTAAGTGATGAGGATAAAACAATTATTTTGTTAACGTCGGTACGCTCTATCCATAAGCATTTATTTAATACTTTGCTTTATGGAAGAGATACCATCTCGGTGGAACAAGTTAAGAGTGCTGTGTTCTCTAATGAAAAGTTGAATGATGAAAGAGAATCGTGATTCTCAGACTCAAGTTCTTATTGTTCAAGAGAAGAAAAGATTTGGAGCTACAAGAAACCTTGTGCCATTGTCCAGAAAGAAAGAAAAGTGCATCCGCGGCATCCACTGCTGCTGTTGTGTCTGATGATACGATAGAATAGAGTAATAATGATGAAGCATTATCAATCACTGATAATAGGGGAGAAGCTAAGGAATGGATACTTGATTCTGCTTGTTCTTTTCATGTGTGTCCTCGTAAAGAATGGTTTGCTACCTACTAACCTGTAGATGGTAAGGTATTTATGAGGAATAATGTCTCTTGCGATATTATCGGAATTGAAACAATTAAAATCAAGACAACGAATGGTTTAGTAAGAACTCTAACGAATGTACGCCATATTTCAAGTGTTAGAACTTATAAGGAATGTGATCTCTGTGGGAGCATTGGATTCCAAATGTTGCTGGTGTGAAGTGAATAATCGATTGATGAAGATTAGAAGAGGGCCATGTGTCATGCTTTTGTGAAGAAAGGTCAACAATCTCTATATTTTGTTGGGAAATACTATGTTAGGTGGAGCAATTGCAAAGCCGGAATAGAAGCCCATTTCAAGATCTACTAGAATAAAGAATCAAGAACAACAAGAGAAGGAAGAAGTTTTGACAATTGCAAGAGCACCAACCTTTATCCCAAAAGCAAGAAGAGTTCAATTTGGTGATGCGAAAGTAGATTCCAAATTTAAATATTTGAACTTGGAATTTGCAAAGAATAGATGAGTATGGTGGTGCGGTGAAGAACGACAAGAAGAAAAATGATGAATTTGAGAAAAGGTGGAGATTGTTAAAATGTTTCTCAATTTCATCATAGCGCTTTATTTGAGGTGGAGAAAGCTTTAGTTAAAGTGGATCTGTGAAAAGATCCTTATTCGAGGTGGACCACGTACGTGAAGACATATTTTGATCACGTGTTGATTACGTATAGTATTTTGGCTTTGGCTACTACCAAAGTTGAACCTGTTCAAATGGGGCTGACCGGTTCAACTTGGACAGTGAATTATGTAAGCTACGAGAAATAATTTCCTAACTGATTTTGGAAGCCAAAAGACTTGGGGAAAAAGCTGTAAATTTAGGGAAGAAATTGTATCTCTATTTTAAAGTTGAAGACTAATATGGCAACTCTTTGTAAGCAAGTTGATCCTTGTCCAACAAGGAATTGGGTTTGATATAGAGATGAGTATGAGTATGAGAAAATTATAGAGAGAAAGAGAGTTGAAATTGTGAGAGAGAAAAGAGTGTGTAATCAAGTTTTTGAAGTAAATTAGTCATTCTTCACCCGTGGACTAGGCAATTTGCCAAACCACGTAAATCTCATTTCTTGCTTGCGTGTGTGCGTTTTTTTTTTTTTTTCTTTTTCTTTCAGTTATATTTGCCAATTGTGTGTGTGAAACCCTAACAGAAGGAAGGAAGGGGTAGAGGTAATATAGGAAGGAATGAACAAACGTCCTTCTTTCGGTAGAGAGGAGATAAGGAGCGAAAGTAGAGGTCTTTAGTCAATTATAATGCTCTTTTTTTTTCTTTTTTTTTTTCTCTCTCTTTTAAGGTTGGTAACAGGTAGATGGAAGTATGAGAACATGACCTATTTTCGCAAATAGTTAATACAATCAATACAATACAACCATCCACAGAATAAAAAAATGAAGGGAAATTTTTTTAGCAGGGGACAATGATAATGCTCACAGCGTCCATTAGGATTTTAACATCTGCATCAGCGATCTGATGGCCAAGTTTTTGCAACCCATCCCTAAGCTCCTCAAGGTTTATCTTGCCTCTCTTGGTGGTGTCCATCTTATCAAATGCTTCCCTTATCCCAGCCACTTCCTCCACTGACAAATGCTCAGCCACCACCTGTGAATGTGACAAAAAGTCAAGACAGTCTCATAGAAATATGCAAGGCCAAAATATAGCCATGATTCACATTTACCTCAGCATTATTTTTAATAGGTACGTAAACTTCAGTAAACTATTCAGATATACTAATTATTACCCTTAGAGCCCTTTTTTTGAGCTTGTTCATTACAGAAAACTGTTTGAGCCTTGCTTTCACAGTCTCACCCAATGGGACATTTGGAGCCTTCTTTGCATTTTGCAACCAGGGATGCTCTACATCCAAAAGATTTGGGAAAGAGAATAATTAAATTTAGACTTCTCATTCACGTGGAGCAATGAACTGGACTCATATAAAACCATCAAATTCAAAAGTAAACAAACAATACCAAGAACTTGCTGAGCAGTAAGCCGCTGCTTAGGGTCTGGATCAAGCATTCTCTTCACAAGATCCTTAGCATTATCAGAAACTTTAGGCCATGGGTCTCTCTTAAAATCAATAACAGAGCGAATAATTGCTTGGGCTACTCCTTGTTCAGTTTCTGCATAAAAAATCGCATTGAATTTCCTTAAAAGCAGAACTAGAAGTAAAATATGAGGAACTCAGCTGTGTGTTTGTGTGAAGACCTCAATAAAAAACAGTTGATATTAAGTAACAAATTAATCTAATAATTTTATTTTACATTCCATATTTACCACTCTGCACCTACGGTCCTCAACTCTAACCCTCATAAGAGTTGAGCAGAAGATAAAAAAGTATTAACTGTTAGAAGTAGAGAACCAAACCTGCCCAGAAAGGCGGAACACCACAAAGCAGAATGTACAGAATAACTCCAGCACTCCATACATCAATCTCTGGGCCATAATTGCGTTTTAGAACCTCTGGAGCCATGTAATAAGGACTTCCCACTATCTCGCTAAAGTGCTCACCTGTATAAAAATGGCAATCTTCAGGTACAGCAGAGAAAAACGTATAAATATATAAAGTGATAAAAAGCACCTAATGCTGATGTTCCCAAAAAAGGAACAAAAAGAAAGTCTCCTAACACATTAGTGAATGCAATTGAGTCACTTGAATGCAATACCAGGTTTAAAGAAAACTGACAACCCAAAATCAATCGTCTTTAAGGGGGAAGTTTCCTTCTTGTTTGCAAAAAGGAAGTTCTCTGGTTTGAGATCACGATGCATCACTCCATTCCTGTGACACATCTGCAATGCAATGGAAACAAAACAAACTTAGATTTATTGAACAAGAGAAAGCTTAACTAAAAGGAACCATGATCTCCCAAACAATTAAAATCATAATTGCTGGCATCACCAAAGGCAGTGAAGGGTTTGGTCCAGCATGGACATGCAAGCACATTCACACTCACACACGGAGTGCAAATGAGAGAAAAAGAAAACATAATAATAGGATGCGTAGGTACAAGAATCCAAAGTTCAAAGAGAAAATTCTATCAAATGTATAGGAAAGGCAAATGCACCCATGACAGGATCAAACAAAAGGCAAGAGTAACCTTTACTAGTAAGCACCATAAAAAAGACAACATCACTTAATAATAGAAAATACCATAGCAGCCATCAGATCAGTTCAGTTCAATAGATCCTGAAAAATCAAAAAGGATAAAAATAAAAAATAAAAAATAAAAACTATGTACATTCACCAAGTGAAGACCTTTTGTAACCTTTTGTCGGAATTTTTTAGAAGACATTTATAGTGGGAGCTTCAGATAGACAGTAACGATAAACTTCTAAGAATAAGATCCTACTTGTTTAGCCTTTATAAGCATATAGGGATAAGATCATATATGTTTAGCAATGATCAGCATATGAAAGCTCAAGCAAAACACTATAACTCTAGGAATATAATCCAGGTAGACCACCAAAGTGACTGCATTAAGAAAATATTCAGTGTACTTGCAGAGAAAAAAAAAAAAAGGTGAAATTTTTGCCCCATCAATTGGGAACTAAATTTTATAAGAACAAATATGACTAGAATGTACGAGAATCTCTGAAACTCATCCATGTCAAAACTAATAGCAATATTTGACAAATAAAAATAAATAAATAAAACTATTTAAGAACAAAAAAATTGCAATGCTATCACAAAAAATAATCAACAAACATAAAATCCAGACCAAGAACATTAGACCGAAATTTCACGAACACAGATTAACTCATCAACATTAAAACAGACCCCAATACAAATTAGACGCTAAGGATCAACATATAAATTGTATCAATTCAACATCATATAAATTGGCCAGGATTATACCTGAACAACTTCCACAATGGTCTTCATTACCGCTGCAGCCGCCCGTTCTGTGTAATGCCCCCTTGCAACGATACGGTCAAACAACTCTCCGCCCTCACACAATTCCATGACAATATGAACTGCATTGTCATCCTCATAAGTGGCCTTCAAAGTCACAATATTGGGATGCTCTGGCAAATGCTTCATAATCTCAACCTCCCTCCTCACATCCTCTATGTCCACCATTGTCCTAAGCTTCTTCTTCGATATCGATTTGCAGGCAAGTCTTTCATTTGTCTCTACATCAGTACACAAGTATGTTATCCCGAATTCGCCTCTCCCGAGCTCACGACCCAGATCATAACGCTGCGAAATGTTGCGACCCGTTGGATCTTTCAATACACACAGCTTGTCTCCACTTTCAGATCCATGATTTGCACCATAATCAATTGAGAATGGATTGGGTTTCTTCTTCTTCCCTCTTTTCTTCTCAGAAGAATCAGCAGGGGTTACACAGCAATTTCCCATGGATCAAATCTTCAAATTTACCTGTATTTTCGAGGACAGGCAACAAATTGTAAAGAAATAAGAAGCCAAATCTGATATTTGTGAGCCTAAAAAATAAAAAAGGGAAATGCAATTCGAAGCTAAGCTATAAATTTCAAAATTTCTGAGATTTGAAGAAAACCCAATAACATATGAAGAAATAACAAGTCAAAATCTGATCTCTGGACACAACATCATGAAGAAAATACTACAAAAATTCAAGGGGAAAATTGCAAATTAGGGTACAGATATTTTTTATTTATTTGAAATGGGAAAGTTGAGATTAGATTAAACAAGATGCTTTTCCAAAAACTCCGGAAGTTTTAGAATTTTCTAAAACTTGCAAAAGAGACCAGGAAATTATTGATTTCCCAAAAAAAAAAACAGAAGAAAAAAGGGAAAGAAAATCTAGAAAATACAAATCCAAATAGCAAATGTTACAACAAACCCACCTGTGATTTTCCTTTTGTGATTATATTGGCGTATGATGAGAAAATTTGAGGAGGTCCCAGATGGGTTTTGAAGGTCAGGAGCTTCAATCAACCAAAAAAGTGAATGGGTGGTTGGGAAGTAGATAGCTGTGTAGAGAGGAATTCTTCAAGGTGTGAATCCGCCATGGAGGACGAGAGAGTCAAAGCTCTTTTGCAGAGGCTTTTCTCTCTCCTAACCTTCTGTCTGTCCCTCTGTCGCTGTCTCTTTCTCTCTCCTCTCTCTTTTCTCTCTCTAATTATCTCTTCTAATTTTATGGGAATAAGACAGAATATCCCCTACCTCACTTCTTGTTATCTTCATTTCTATTTTTTTTCTCTATTTTAATTTCCTCTCCACAACTCAGCGGAAACGAAATTTCCTCTTCCTAATATATCCCAACGCGTTATAATTTTCAATTTTTTGTCCAACTTTTTAAGGAAAATTGTTAATTTGGTTATTCTCGTCATTAATTAAGCTTCATTGAATCAAATGACTTGAGAATATATATATATATATCAAATGACTTGTAATTTGCTCTTTCCTTAAAAAAACAAAAAAAAATTACAGTTACGTGGTGTTTGAAATTTAAAAGTTTATTTTTTACTTTAATTAGATTAGATAAAATATTTATATATACATTAATAATTATTATTTAAGTCTAAAATATCCTTCAATCTCTTATTCCAATATACTAAATTATTTTCCTTAAATCAAGCAACTTTTTATATAATTTTTTTACTTAAAAGTTTAGGAAAATAAGATCTTTCCGTTAATTTTGAATCTTGAATCTTACTGCTGCAATATATACACTCACGAGAATTTATACAAACAATTAAAAAAAATTAATATAGTAAAAAATGGGGCAATAAAAGAGTAATATATATATATATATATATATATATATATATATAAACTCCAACAATGCTTGTCTTAGATCGCATAAGAAAGAACCTCATTTTTATAATGAGATGGTTCAATAAAACATCAATAAGGGTTTAAGTTTTAAAAGAAAGAAAAAAACAATGATGACTACTGGCAATAGAAATTGACTCTTCCTTCTTTCTCTCTCAAGCAGTTAAATATATTATTTATGTGGTTTGAATCTAAAATCAAATATTATTCTGGAGAAAAAAAAAATTATATATATATATATATATATATATACACACACCACATATTACAAAGAGTGGGAATGATGATGTTCCCTCTCTCAAATACATAATTACATGTTATATTCGTAGTAGTATGGCACATTATACCAAATTAAATAACTTTTTGATAGAAAAATTTAATAGATCTATTTTTATTGTTTTATTTGGTGATAATCATCTTTAAACAATTAAACTTGGATGAGAAGCTTGTATATAGATACAAAAGAAAAGAAGATGAACATGGAATGTTTTGAAATTTATGAGAGATTGTGATGAGAAAAGAAAAAAAAAAGAAAGAAGATGAACATGAAAAGTTTTAAAATTTATATATAAGTGAAAGGAAAAAAAAAAAAAAAAAAACTCTCATGACCAAAAAAAAAAAAAAACTATATATATCATTTGCCATGAATTAATAGTGATTATTTATCTCAACTCTCAGATATGACCAAAAGATGTCGATCTAATAAAGAGAGAAAGTGAGAAAGAGAGAGTCCTGATCTCTTGCTCTTACATTAAATCTAACGGTCATTTTTCAAACCCACCTTTTACCACAAAACCACCCTCACCTTATTTTTAGTTTTTATATTTAATTTTACCATTATCACCTACTAAAACAAAAAAAGGTAATTACCAAAATAAAAATAGAAACCTTTGAAAAAAAAAAAAAAAAACCAGTATATTTTACTAAAAATATGTACGTATCTTTCAATTTTGTAACAATAGAATTGTATTATAGCATTTTTATAAGAAATATCAATTTTGCAATAACAGTATGATATTATAGAATTTTCCTAAGAAACATCAATTTTGCAACTATAAATTTACCAACAAATATACTGTAATATTGTATTTTGGAATATGGAATTAATTAATTGGAATTGAAATTGAAGAAAATTTCATTTAGAGTTTGAACAAATTTTTTTTCTATTTCAATTTGAAGTTGAGCATTTGGTGAAATTCATTATTGAATCTTTACCAACAAATATACTGTAATATTGTATTTTGGAATATGGAATTAATTAATTGGAATTGAAATTGAAGAAAATTTCATTTAGAGTTTGAACAAATTTTTTTTCTATTTCAATTTGAAGTTGAGCATTTGGTGAAATTCATTATTGAATCTTTGAATTTGTGAGTTTGATTATTAGATGATGATAATATACTGATTATGGTGGGACGAATCCATCTCAGAAACAACAAGGTAACTAAAAAAAAAGGTGAAGCTCTTCTCACAACCTTATCCATGGAGAGAAATCATTTGTCACTTTTGTCTATGGATTCAAATTCAGCCACGCACAAAGAAATGGGGAGAGAGTTGATTATCTTTTATTGTTACAGTGAGTGGTAATGGTAAAATTAAATATAGAAACTAAAAATAGGGTTAGAGTAGTTTTATGTTAAAAAGAAAGACCATAGGTGAGTTTGAAAAATAACCGTTAAATTTAATCTAACGGTCTATATAGAAAGTGTGGATTAATTTTCCTGTTCCATGGGAAGTAAGAGATCAGGACTATATATATATATATATATATATATATATATATATATATATATATATATATTCTCCATAACAATGTTTGATTTTAGATTCAAAACACATAAATAATATATATCTATACGTGAGAGAGAAAGAGGGAAGGGTTAGTTTTTAGGGAAAACTACGTATAGGTAGACTTAGTAGCCTTAAATAATAAAATAGTCTAATTTTAAAGTTTATTTTTTAATTTGATTAAATTAAACAAAATAATTACAAATACATCAACAATTATTATTAAAGGCCAAAATACCCTTCAAACTCTTATTCTAAAATACTAAAATATCCTTATAATTATATAAGAATTTTGGAGCCTATTTTGGTCCAATTCTTACGTGGGATGGACACATCATTGTTCTTATCATTTTTTTTTCTTTCCAAAACAACGTTTCTCTCTCTTCAATTAGATTGGCTCCATTCCTCTATCTTCATCGTCTCTTCTCTTCCCTCTCGTTCTAAGCCTCTTTCTTCACTTGATTGTTGTTATTATTGTTGCTTTTGGTTTTGATAACTTTTCTGAACAACCACATTGATGAGGGAGTGACTGACATGACCAGAGGATTATTATACAAACTTTAATTGGCTTGTCTTTGTCGTCTTAGTCAGATCTCTTGTATGATGGCTTAAGCTTCATCTTTTTATCTACAATGATTTGCTTACCAAAAAAAATAAAGGATAAACTAAAATTTTTGATTCTTGGGTCAATTGATCTATACCAGTATGGTTACATATATAACCCAGACAAAAAAAAAAAAAAATTTAGAAAATTTTGAAATCAGACCGATCTAATTGAAGAGAGAGAAAGTCTCATTGAATAATGAAAATCTATTTGAAAATTAAGAACAAGTATCACAACTTGATCCCTAAACATCTAGGAATGATCCCAAATTTATCAGAAAATAGTGTTATGTGTCGTCAAAAAATGTATGTTTAAACATGTAAATAGTACATATAAAGAGGGAGAAAATGCCATGTAAAATAAATTTGGATTTGTAAGAAAATATTATTCAACCTTAATCGTTTGTCATGCTTGTTGCAATGGATTTGATTTTCTTCACAGATTTTCTTCACTAACACTCCTTCCAAGCTCCTTCCAAACACAGAATTCACAGTCAAGATTTGATAGTTTCTTAATTGACTTTTGGTATTTTGAAATTATATAACTCTAAGGATAGTTTGGTATTTTAGAATAAGAATTTGGAGGGTGTTTTGGACCTTAATAATTATTATTGATGTATTTGTAATTATTTTGTTTAATTCAATCAAATTGAAAAATGAACTTTAAAATTAGACTATTTTGTTATTTAAGAGTACTAAGTCTATTTATATGTAGTTTTCCCTAGTTTCTATGGTATGTAGTCATCATTTTTTTTTTTTTTTCCTTTTAAAATTTAAATACATATTGATGTTTTATTGGGCACCTCATCATAAGGAGGAGGTTCCTTCTTATGCGGCCTAAGGTAAGCAATGTTCATTAAACTCTTTCATGCCAAGAACAAATCTTCTTTGATGATGCATGCCTTGAGATGATCATCATTTGACTCAATTTATACTTTTTTTATAAATAAAAAAATGGTTGTTGGTATACCATTTACCTAAGCAACCATTTACTTTCATGATCTCTCACTCTCGAGTGCATGTATATTGTATGTATGTGTGTGTGTATTTTTTCTTTGCACATGAAAGTTTTCACATTTGCAAGGTTTATATTGGTACGAATTAGGAGATATGGTTAAAGTTATGTACACAAAAAATTATATATATATATATATATATATATATATATATATATATATATATGTATATGTAATTAATTTTTACTTATTGGGAAAAAAAAATTCTACACGTATAATAAATTTTTACTAAATTATTTGTATATTTCTAAATTGATATTTGCAGGTTTGAACCGAGATTGATTAGGAGATACAGTTAAAGTTAAGTGTACAAATTTTTTTTCTATATAAATGTAAGTGCTATTTTTTATTTTATTCATTTTTGGTAATATATACATCAAATGCAAAAATGCCCTTTAAGTTAAAAGTCAACTCAAAAAACTTGTTTTTCTAAATTTCTTGAAAGAACTATTGATTTAGGAAGAATAACTTGGTATTTTGAAATAAAAGTTGTAGGGTATTTTAGACCTAAACAGTAATTTTCAATGCATATGTAATTATTTTGTTTAAATCAGCCAAATCGAAAAATCAACTTTTAAAATAAAATGATTTGTTATTTAGGACTCCTAATTCTACTTAAGTGTAGTTTTCCCAAAAAAAAAAAAAAAAAAAAAGCTAGGAACCATGTTTTAAATCATTAACGTCAAAACAAAATTATTAGGAGTAATTATATATAATTATTTATTTTTAATTTGTAGCCACAAGAAACTCTCATCTTTATAACAATTTAAACTCTTAGCCTTTTATTTAGTTGTTGTAATACCCTTAATTTTAAATAGGATAGTCTCGATATTTATTTTTATGGTTTTATTGCATTTTTAAATTAATTATTTGTTTAATTGGCTATTTATTTAATTGAATTATTTGATTTCATTTAAATTATATGCTTCTGTGGAAATTGAACTAATTGTTTTATTTGA